CTCCTGCATGGGGTCATGCTGCATGCACTCACTTGTACAAGCTGCAAGTGATTCAGAATAAGACATTGAGAACTATTTACAATGCTCCATGGTTCATCAGGAACGTGCAGCTGCACCAGGAGGCTAACATTCCTTTCCTCTCGGAATTCATGAAGAAGTCAGCTGAGAAGGCTTTTGCCAGAGCTGAGATTCATCCAAATCCTCTCCTGCGAGCGGCCGTCGACTACGATCCGGGTGATCATCACACCCACAAAAGGCCGAGAATGGCTGCTACCTGACAGCACTGACATTCCCACAAGACTGAACACTCGTCATGCATCACCACATGGGCCTTCAGGCCAATGCATTAAAATCATGAGCCGAAAGGCGGAGTTTTTACTCATCCACGAATTCACTGTCATACATTCCTATAGATAAAAGGCAACGGGATCAATTCCCCACCAAGCCACATTGAGGGAAAAAAAAATGTGCACAAGTTACGTGCATGAAGAGTGGAGGTTTAATAAGAAGAAAAGAAATAATATAGTATATGAAAGATATATAAAGATGGCGTAAAAAGATGGCTCAAACTACAACTATCAATTTATAATATTCAAAGGGCAGGCGTAGCACAACATCTGAAACACACAATAAATCAAGAATAGCATTTGAAGAATATTTTTTTTTAAAAATAAGAATAGTACAAAATAAAAAATATAAGAAAAGTAGAAGTAGCTTATAAAGAATACTGTAACCGCTTTATATATTATATTAAACGAATACAGATGGCGCACTGATCAATGTAAATCAAAGTACAGTGAAAACTCGCTTTACGATCACCTCGCTTAACGAGCAATATAAATTGTAAAAATGACTTGTTTAATGAGCGACCTTTCGCATAACGAGTAACGAGGACAGCGCCTGCTACTCCATTTTCAATACTTGTGTTCACATATTATTTGTATTTTTATATGTTATTTGTAGTTTTTTTTTGTGAAAAAATTAATAACACTTGCATGTTTCCGAATAAAAAGCGAAAGAATAAAAATAACCATAGATATGAAAAGCAAAATCATTAAATATTAAGACCAAGTTATACTTTTTTTCCAACATGGAACGCATTATCGAAATTTACATTAGTTTATATAGAGAAAATTATATACGAGTAAAAATCCGGAAATTTTGGAACAGATTATGCTCGTTAAGCATAATTATGTACAGTGGAACCCAGTTTAACGAGAACCTCTTATAACGAGTAATTCGCATAACGAGTAAAACAAATTGTAACAAAAAATGAGTCGCTTAACGAGTATTCGGACATATTTTGTGTAATATTTTTTTGTGCATAGTTAATAACTCTTCCAAAAAATATCCCCGAATAAAAAGAGAGCCATAAGAGAATATTAGAGAAGAATTAAAAAAAGAATTAAGTATGTACCATATATAATAAACTAGTTATTTCGATTTTTTGTTTGAATAAAATTTATTCATAAAAAATTAATATTTTTTACTTTAATTTATATGGAAAAAAAGTTACAAGTAAGATTCTGGAACGAAAATTTCCATTGTATTTATGAAGGATTATATCAAAATAGCCAATCTTTTGATCTTAAATTCAAACGAAATTTTCAAAGAATAAGGAAACACACATATCGTATCAATATGGTTTCAATATATTATTTCAAAAATAAAATAGTGAAATCAATTAAATTACATTTTCAACTAACACTTTTGAAGTTCTGGGGTTTTGTGGTTGATAGACAGTCAAAAATAAAACCTTATAAAAAAAATATTACAATCCATCTCTATTATATCTTTTTTTAACTGAAAATATCGAAGTAGAACCTCAAAATGAATTGGTGTTATTTTAAAATTTTGTGAACTGATAAAAGAAGGCAATTGGCGAAGGGTGTGGGAACGCCCTCAAAGTCGCAACTCCGCCTCCGCTTGAAATTTTTGGGTATCTGCATTTGCAACTGAGAGAATAAAAAAATAACAAATAAACGCTTATCGTCGTGCTGGAAATGTTATCTATGCGTGCAGATGTTGCAAGTGTATCCACGTTTTCCTGTAACAACAAAACCATTTATCGTAAATGGAATTGAACACTCTTTACATCTATAGGAATTTATTTTTTTTAACTCAATACAGCAACACGTCGATTATCCGATTATCAGTGGTTACAACTGTTTTAGTATTTACTTATTTTATAAGTAAAATTGTCTCTGTTAATATGCTGTTTAATAAATATTTTTTTACGGAAAACAATAAAAAATTACAGATTACCTTTTAAAATGATTAAAAATGTGTTTTTGATTATCAATACATATATATTAAGTTTTTAAATCAAATAAAGGTGATGTTTGTATTAAGCGTGTTTATCAATTATCTTTAACGTTTCCGAATTACCACGCATAAAATATTGAAACAATCGATTCATTAATATTGTTCAAGTCAGTGACAAATTTATGAATGATTAAGTCTATTTTAGGATAATGATATTTCAATGCAAATTAAATGAGCTTCCATTTTTGGTTACAACTTTTTACACTTTCAAAGAACGTTCAGATAACTAATAGAGACTGTCAACGGCTCGCAGCAATTAACTGATATAACTTAGAACAATAGCGATTTTTAATCGTTGACCATTGTTGACCTTCTTTACTACAACTGTTAAATGAGCTAACAAAACATGTATTTTTTTGTTAGAAAAATTGAATTGAAATAATTTTATTTACATTTCACTCAGAGAGTCGAACCGGAACCGAACCGGATTTTTTAACTGAACCGTGACTATAATCGGAACGAAAAATTGCTCAATTGAAAAACCGAAACCGGAACGAACTTTTAATTTCGGAACATCATTACTGAAGAAGTTCATGTGTTGAACTAATCACTAATTATTTTTTATTTCTTTTGTATTTTCAATAGTTTGATATTGTTTTCAAAGGAAATTTGGTAAATGACTTAAATCAAAATTTGATATTGGACTCGATTTTAACTAACCAATTTAAATTGTTTTTTTAACTTTCAATTTTAATTTCAACCGGAACTGAACCGGAACCGAACCGAAACTGAACCGGACCGAAACCGAATCTGGAACGATAAACATTTACTTGGAACGTAACCGTAAACCGGAACGAAATTAATTCGGTGCGACTCTGTAATTTCACTATATAAATCTTCTTCAGCTTGTAAGCATCCACTCATGCACATAAATATCTTCCATTATCTTCTCTTTTTGTCCAAAATCAATATATTAAAGTTTATTTATTGATAATATTGCACATTTTCTTAATGAATCGTTCAAAATTAAATGTTTTCAAGTTTATTTACAAAATAAACACAATAAATATTAGTTTTTTTTTAAATAAGAATTTGAATATGTATTTTATTACAGTAATTTCATTTTTTTTGTTTAAAATGCACTAAATTTAAGTTTTTGTAATTACAGTTTAATATTGAGAATGAATAAGATTGTAATTAGGCTTCCCTAAGTATAGCTTTAAATTGAATTTTACACTAATATACTTGTATAATTTTAAAATGTATTTTAAAAATGTGATAAAGAATGTTTTGTTGTATATTTAATACTACAATGTAGTAAAACAAACTGATTATTTGAGGTTGAACTTCCTACTAAATATTAGAATAATAAATATTTATAATATTGTTATTATAATGTATTGTACATTCTTTTTTGATATTTTCTTTTACTTGTTATAAATAATCACTAAATAATAATAGTGATAATTATTAATCAATAATAGAACTTATCAAAATTCTTAATTTATTTTCTTTGTAAGAGTAAAAAGTAAAATTATTTTTTATATATCATGATTTCCTTATTATTATTATTTTTTAATGAAGAAAATAAGGAGGTTGCAATTAGAATAAAATTGTATTTATTTCCAATATTTTTGTTCATTTCTGATGAATAAATTTGATGTTTTTATCTATTTTATTAATATGAAATTATTATTAATTATGTTTTTTAACTCTGTAATATAAATAATTCGAAAAATACTTCATTACAGGAGAAGTAACAATTTGTAATAATTTAATTAAGTTTATACTTCGTTGAGATAAATTTGTTATAAGATTTCATTTCTTTCATCTATAAAATTAGGAAAAGTAAACTTAATTTTTAATTTTTATTAAAATAATGATCAGGAAAAATAAATTGGGATAAATTTGTATTGTTTTCAAGATTTTTGATGTATCTTGTATATAAACATAAAATATTGATTATAATTTGATAGCAATTGATAATTTTGATAATCAATTTCGATTTGCCTATATTTGTGTCTAAAAAAAGTTTTTTTTTCGTCAACTTATTTGACTCTTAAGTCACTGCTCAAATAATATTGACTTTCGCGCGGTTGTTGTTGTTATCTATCGACTTTAGAAGAGTTGTTTATCTGCGTTTGTCCTCAGATAGGTGTGAAGCCTAGCTAGCTAGTTAAGTAGTGACAGAGTGGCGTCGAATCGCGGATTATCTAGAATAAACATGGGGACATGGGGTCTGGGGAACTGTCATCGAAAAACGGTCATAATCTAGAGGCGATTATCTAGAGAAGACTCAGTACTGCGTTGTCGCTCGGTGGCTATAACAGATAGTGAGTGAAAAAAAGAGCGAAAAATACAAAGTTACGCCCACTTCCCTATTGTATTGGAAAGCACACATTCTGAGCTACGCTACCTCCTTCCTTCCTTTTTTCTCGCTCGCTCTTCGGGACTTCCAGTATTAGTTGATCAGTCGTCAGAACAGATTGTCGCGCGTTTCCAACGATGCTTTGCTAAAGACGCGAAAGCAAGCAATAAACAAGAAAAATAAAACCCTGCAATTACAATGGATAAGTTCTACAGGTTATTCTGCTGCCTCCTGTACTTTGGATTCTTATTTACCGGTGAGTCTATCTTATCGTACTTTACTACATCTAAGTAATCATCCCATCAGTAAATACTAACCGCAAGAGCAAATAACATTGTCTTCATCGAGTTCAATTGATTTGCTTCGAATCGTCACCCGAGAAAAACAACAAAACACTCTGCTCGAGGCATGAATGGAATTTCAATAACGCGCAAAGAGCGCGCACGTGATTCATGCATCTCCTGGAACAACAAAACGAATAAAGAATGTAAAAAGATGAAAACGAAATAACCTTCTCTCTCGAAGGATTCCAAAGTAAGAGGAAAAAAGGCCTCAATTCACGGCAAACGTGATTTTCCAGTTAGCTCCTTGGAATATGACCCTAATCGTTGCACTTTTGTTTAATTCATTCATTCATCCCTAACTAAACAAATGAAGCGACTTTTTTCTTGTAGTTGTCAAGCAACGCGATGAATAATTGAGTAAACCGTGGCGCAATACCGGCAACAATTTTGCACACTTTTAAACCAGTTTCGCATGAGACGCATCTCGAATACCGCGAATCCCTCTTAAGTCATCGCATCATTAATTCAAAGCTGCTTTTTAGCATATGCGTTACGATACACGATCTGATCGTAGTATATAAATCGAACGCGGGAATCCCAGATAAATTCCAATTCGATAAAGTTAAATTCTTCATAATAACATTACTCACGACAAATTAGTATTGACAAATTAGTATTGACAAATTAGTATTGACAAATTAGTATTGACTATATTTTTGAATAAGACTTTCAATTTTGATTCGATTGAAATAATTAAAAAAATGTGATTTAAATCTCATTATCTAACAATTGAATAAGAATTAAGGCAAGTTTCCATTTACAATAATCCTCTCCAATATCTCGATCTGTTGAAATTGGACTAATCTTTGAAAACTGCATAAAAATAAATGTTACAAAATGAGACATGACTGTATGGAAGAAAGAAAAACAAGAACGATTAATTTATGTATAAACAAAATATTTTTTTTATTTTTTTCAAATAAAATTTAGATTGTTTTGAAATTTTCAAACCGTACTATAGCTAATCTGCATTGTGATCGAAGAGCAGCAAAGTTATGCTATATTTATAACTTATCTTTAATCGAATTAAATATTTATTTGATTTTGTTTACTCGTCGGAATTACTTAATCATTTTTTATATGAAAACAGGAAACCAGCAATGAAGCAAATCCATTTGATAATGTAATATATACAATGCAAGTAGTATTAATTTCATTTAGTCATTTATATTTTTATGATTGAGCCGGAGGAAATTAAGTGCGTCCAGTCACACAAAAATGACTAAGATCTCTCTTGATTTTTTCTATAAATTAAAATATTTTCATTTTGAGCTTTTATAACACGGATAGTCATTTATTTCCGTCAATTTAATATATAGATAATAATAACTAACATTATATTATTATTATTGAATAAACAATTCTTAAATTTGCACTAATAATTAAAATATTTTCTTGTTCTAAAACGTGAACAAACTTTTATTTGTACACGATAATTTTTGTAATTTCTAATTATTTCTAAAAATAATAAACGCACTTCATGTTTAAACTACATAAATTTAAGTGCAAAAGTGTTTATAGTCGAAATGCCACGTGTTTAATGTTTTTTTTAGAAATCAAATAAACGCATTTTATATTTATACAATATAGAAATTAAAGCTGTAAATGTAAGAAATAAATAAATGAATCATAACTATATAATTGTAAAGTGCACGTTTTCGCTGAGCAACGAGTAAATAAAAATAATCCAAACTTTTCGTTTTTCTGACTATCTATGATAAATCGCGTTATCATTCCCATACAATTCGATAATTTAGATCGGACAATAAAAACAATAATCGGAACAATTTGATTGAAACGCTTTTTTTTATTATATCATAATGAGTCATAGATCGGTGTAAAGAGTCGCTTTTATTTAGTTTTTCATTTATTAACATATTACTGTAATATTCAACGAAATTTCCAGGAAATTCTAACGGAAACTTTAGAATTTTTCGTTGACATTTTTCCGTTAAGTTTAAACATTTACTTCGAGTTTTAATTTATCCAAATGCTAACGAAATAGAGAGTGAGAGAAGAAAAAATGTGTGGAATAGAATTTCGACGCGAACTCGCGTTTCGATTAGATAAGCTTTTCGATTATCCGAATTTTTATTTATTTTTAAACGAAACAAGATCCTCGTTACATTTGTCTCTGTTATTGTTGACGAATTGAAGTTTAATTATTAATATAGTTTTAATCGATTCTATTTATCCAACGAAATATTATAAAATATATTTATTGGCCCATTTAGGACCAAAGGACTTTATCCATTATTTTAAATATATTATCTTCTTCTTTGCCAGTGTTAAGTTATTTAAAGTATAAAATTTAAACAACAGTTAATGTCATACTAAAACATATTAAAAGAAACGTGACAAATCCACAAAGGATGATTCACTAGGTGCAATCTTTCTATGGATTTCATCAAAATCGTAATCATTGTTTACAAAAAGTAAATACTGCTAATTGTTTGTAACTTTGCAACTGTTTTGCGCATGCGTTTCGTGCTTGCGCCTTCTGTTGTTGCGAATTCGAACTGGCTTTTAATTTAAAAAAATATTTAGTTAATTCGAAAGATAAACCTAAAATTTTCTTTAAAAAAATACAGCATAAATTGATTTTTTTTGTTATGCTACATACAATTGGGCATTTACGAACAAAAGAAATATAAATAATTGTTGTTCTTAATTCTTATATAAATGAGGTTTCCAATAACCTTGGACAACCATCAGCGTCCTTTGATCTGCGAAAAGTGTAAAACACAACCAGTTAATAAATGAACCTGCTCGTGGAATTTAAGTCTTGAATTGAAACTCTGAGACGTTTATAATGAACTTTCTCCTTAGTCGAAATAGGAAATCGAATAGATTGATTTTGAATGAAACTATTGAATAACGGGAATCGTATTACTAAGAAATCTTCTCTTCCTATGGACTTTTTTTATTCGAATTGAAGTTTGTAGAAATAAATTGAATTGAATGAGTTCAAGTAATCTGGAATTGTGGGTAAGTGCACCAACGATATTTGGCGGAAACCAAAGTGCGGTCGTATGTGATGATTTGTTAGTTTGTTTTGTGCGAATCACGCACGAAATGTGTTTGTTGGATAACAAACTTCTTTTTAACTTTCTCCGCAACGTAACTTTGTAACGATTCAGATGATCGGTATTACGTAAAATCCATTAAATAAATCGAAAATGAACAGAGAAAGAGAGAATGTATAAAATAAATTATCATTCAGTTAAATGTCTGCTCGAAACGGATGTATGTGTTAAATTGAAACAGTGGCTCAGGGATTTTATCAGAGAGCCGTTCGTTGTTACAATTCTACACGCAGAGAGATTATGGAAGACGTGGGGGTCGTTTCCTTACAGATACCAGTACATTTTCTGATTTCATTAAAACGCTTCGAAATGCAACAGTTACGAAATGTGCGCCTTTATTTCGCTTCGACAAGACCCGAAAAACCACATCCTTCTTCAAGTCCATTATCGAAGCGAGAACTGACGTCGGTTTTGGTCCCTAATCAAAATATCGTTGAAAAACCGGGTGACTTAATTTCCATTTAAAACGCAATTAGCCAATGCTTTTCGAGTTAAACGCAAAAGAATTACGATAAACTGCGTTTATTTGCATTACGCACGATTTATCACGAACGACATATACAATTTCTTGTTCCTTTCAGTATTTATTCTGCGCTCGATACTGAGATAGAGATAATGAGAGGACAAATAAATAGAATTGTGTAAATAATTTGATGTGCCTTGCGTAATATCCTTTCCCACTTTATTTATTTATCATTCGTGTGCATTCCATCATTTACCACATCAGATTTGAAAAAAAGTTTGTCGTAGCAACTTCAAATAATGTTTAGCTAATATACCCTCACAATGAACTATTACCTTATTTATATGAGGTATTTTATAGGAATTTTCCCCTCCTGTTAACATAATTGAATATATACACGTTTGTAATGTTATCAAGAGTATTTATATTTAATTTATTAATTGCATATTGCATGCATTCAATCAATTCATTAATTGTATTTGTCGAAACTTCATGTTGTAGTACTTCAATAAAGTTAAAAAAATCTAAATCAAGAACGTTTAAATCGGGACTGTTTGGTAGTTATGACTTAAATTGAATATTCCAACCATCAGTAGAATCGTGTTCTAATTGTTCTTTGTTCTTCATATACTGTAATAGCTGCTGCTAGATACCATGACGTTGTTCATTGTCAATTGCTTCGATTAGGCATCAAATCTTTGTAAATTCACGTTATTTGGGTTAAAGTTTTCCATTTTTGACATTTACTATCTCATTTTTCATAAAAACAATAATTTTTGGTCTTCAAATTCCAACTTAACTCAAAAGCAACGCCTGTCAAATATGTTAGGTTACTTAGCAATGTAAACAATACCAATATAATGAGAATTACCAGTTGCTTTCGAAACTCTAGATCAGTGGTTCCCAAACTTATTTGGCCTACTGCACACATTCCAGAAAAAATATTACTCAGTGCCGCCTGGAAAATCTTCTCTTCTTTCTATTATGCTTTCACCGCATAATACAATGCACCTGTCGCCATCACCGCCCACCTGGATCGCTGCAGCGCCCACCAGGGGTCGGTAGTGCCCACTTTGGGAATCACTGCTCTAGATAATCTATTTTTTTTCAAATGTATACCGTATTTTCGGACAGAGGGAGTATATTTTTATTTTATGAAAATCAAAGCTATTTCAATAACAATCTAATTAAAAAGAAATAGTAAACTTGCAAGTATTTTTTTTGTTCAAGAAAACAAAGCAAAATCTACAACTTTTAATCCTAAAAAAAGGAAGTTAGATTGGAAATATATAGTTTTTGCTAATTTGACAATATATTATATAGATAAGAAAAAAATTGTTAAAAAATAATGCAGTTTTCTTTTTCAAAATTCTAATAATTCAAATATAAATAAATAATTAACCTTTTTTATATTAATAATTATAATCTATAGATTTTTTATTTATTTTTTTTTGATTTGTGTACTAATTTCTAATAAATTAAGTTTAAATATAAATTATAATTAAATTTCTTATTATTATTCGTATGGAAAAGATAAGAAACATGATAAGATTATACATTTCTTAAGAGATTTTTTTAAACAAAATGTAATTAATGTAATTTGGACATTTTATATGGCAAATAAGTTTGAAAGTTATTTTCGTTCCTATTTTACAAAGTAACTTGTTTTTCTTTCTTGATAAAATCAAGATTAATTTTAAATACTTTATGATTGTTGCAGGTTTGGATGCCACAAAACCGAAGATCTACATTGACAACAAAGTGCACGACTACCTGGAGCACGTCATCGCCTCAAACGGAAACTTCACTGTAATCTGCGAAGGCACGGAACCCATCAACTGGGTGTTCAATGAAACGGTAAGCACGAAATGATTTGCAGAATTATAAAAAAGAAAATGATTAAATTCTTCGTTTCCAGTCAACCAGTTCCACTAAGCGAATCGAGTCGAACAGAATCGACAAGAAGGAGTTCAAATATTCGTCTACGCTTTATCTGGAGAATGCAAACTACAGAGACACCGGTTTCTTCAACTGCAAAGCCACCGACGCCGAAGACGGCGATAGAAATAGAACCGCAGAGCTTTACCTCTACGTAGAAGGTTCGTACATTGAAATTTCAACTGCAAAGTTCAGAAGTACATTTCTATTTACTTTCTTATTTTTTTTTGCATTAATAAGATGTAAATAAAGGTTAAAACTAAACGGTGACACATGTTTTTTTATAGTTATTGCGTAATACGTTGTACAAATGTATCTAATTATTATGAGAAAAGTGCTTTTAGTATTTTGTAAATTCCGTTGAAACTAAGAGACGCATTTATTAATGGAAATATATAAATTAAAGCGGTATATAGTACAATAAAATAAACATTACATGCACGAAAAATGTAATATATTTATGTTGCTTGTTATTTATTATAAATTTAGTTTAAATACATTAAGTATAAACAATGTAAATTAAACCTAAAACCACAATGAGCTAACTGCTAATGTAGATAATGGTGATACTTGGAAATTTGTCTTTAAATTTCTAAATTCAGTATTACTCAATAACTAAGCATATCAAATTAAAGTTAAATAAAATTCAGAGTCTTCACGTTTTATTGAATTACTTCAAAGATAAGAAAATTACAAGTATGAATATTCTAATTAAACATAGATACATTGGCTTTAATTTGAGTATATTAGTTTTGTAGATATTACCATTTTCGTATAATGAGCAATCAAATATGAAGAAACTTTTTTTAATACTTAATTGAATACAAAAATTGTAATCGTAGATCGTTAAATGTGATTGTTTTTATTAGATCCGGAGCATTTGGCTGTGCTGGATGAAGATTACAACACACTCCACACGCATTACAACAGCGAGATGATAATTCCTTGCAGACCGACGTCACCGAATGTGAAGGTTGTTCTCTACAAGAACGAAGAAACGGAGGAAGAGGTGAGTTTATAATTTTTATGCACGATTTCGCTTTAGAACGCTTTAAACATATTAAACGTATCTTGGGAGTTTATGTTGCTAACTTTTTCACTTGATTATTGACTTCTTGTGCTTAGGTTCACATTTGAGTTTGTATAAATACACGAATGAAATCTCTTAGATTCTTCTCTACGATGCACGTGTGTAAATATTTTTTAATCCACGTGCATCTCTGTCTGTCTCTTTCTCTGGTAGCCAGAGGTATGTACATAGTCTGTCTCACCACTAACCACATGCAATGTTCTTGAACGTAAACTAATAGGGTTACTATTGGGGAAAGGTTCATCTCGGTCAGAGGCTGAATGACAGTACGGTCGTCCAGTTTACGCCGACCATCGGCTTTATCATCACCCCGTACGATGCGGGGAATCAGATGGGAGGACCAGAGGATCAAAATAGTCAAATCTATGTATGCCAATTCAGCAGAGACGACGATCTGAGCAACGCACCGCAAAACGTCCATTACATTATCATTGTCGAGCGTACGTACCAACACCATCAAACACTTCAACATCGCTTCTTATTAGTTAGCTAGTTAGTTAGTCACCGTCTAAGTTCCTGTCTTGTATTACTGTTTTTCTTCTGCTCCGTTACTATAGTTAAATTTAGAGGTTGTGGGTCACAGAATTCTCGTTCGAAAGTGGACCAGATGTGTCTGAAAGAAAAGTTTTCAATTTATTTGCAGATTAACGTGAAGTTCAACCGAACGATCGGTTTCACGGTCGTCAACTTGACGGATATGAGCCAGTACTCTTGCATTTTTGAATTGGACGGAGTCCAAGAAGAACGCGAATTCTTAATTTTCGTGTTTCGTAAGTCGTAATCAAACATGATCTATTCGGTGGCGGTTTCTTTATTAAATATTAATCTTCCTCTTCGTTCCACTACAAATCCATAGATCTTTTTAATTCGTAAACATGCATTTTGCAGCCAAGGCGACGTTCATAGATAGACCGGAAATCGAGGACACGAGCAACGGACACACGATCGTCGGAAGCACCATGCACCTCCGCTGCCATCTGAACAGTATAGTTCAGTTCTCAATGAAATGGGTTTTACCCAACAACAGAGACGTACGTTTCTGAAAACTTTGCAATTTGAACAAATATCTTAATAATTAAATTATTTTGACAGGATCATCGTTTCGTTTATGGCAATATCACCAGCGTCTCACAAAGTTCCCATTACAAAGATCTCTGGATTCGCAACGTCACCAAAGAAGACCAGGGCAATTACCAGTGTTTGGTCAACGATTACACCAACAATAACAACCAAACTCATTTCGTCAAAGTCTACGGTAGTTTTCAAATTACCTTTCTCACTTTTTCCCACTCTATTATTTTTGAATATCCTAATAATCGTACATTTTATTAAATGTTCTTCTACAATAATGAAACATGACATAACTTTTCAGACAGGAGTGAAGTAGAAAATTCACAAAAAAATATACGATAATTCATTTATTGCAAGAATATTTTTTAAATATTGTTTAATTTCAAGCGAGTTCTTCTAAGATAAGATTCAATTTATGAAATTTAAGAAATTCTAGTATTAGAGAATATTACAACAAATCATTCCAATTAAATTAATTTATCTCTTTTTTTTCTTATTTACGTTAGATGTTAATGAGCATTTCATAAATTTAACTGAAGAGAACAATCTGTATTCGATATCGGCGAGTGCCGGAGAACCTAGCGTCCAATGGAGCATCGACGTCGATACGCATCCCGTTGAGAACTTCACCATGTACTGGTAAGAATAATTTGTTATTTTATTTTGTCCGCTTTCTCTAATTCTTTTTGGTTGAAAAGGTTGAACAACAAAAACGAATTCATCGAGATGATCGAAATGGACGAGATGAGCACGAAATCTCAAAAATACACGACAAAACGCACCAAAACGGAGGTTGTTCTCAAGATCAACAGAATCAGCATTACTGACTTTGGAAATTACACTTTGGTGGCGAAGAACGCCTACGAAGAGGAAAGACTCAACCTGTTTCTCAACATCACCGGTAATTGAAGAAAAACTATGATTTAATTCAAAAATATTATCATTGCCTTGCTCGTCCAGATAAACCCACCCTTCACATAGAAAGCTCCCCGTTCCATTTCATCGGTCAGAAGAGTTACCTGAATTGCGTTGTAGCCGCATATCCGAAACCGATAGTTCGATGGGCATACAAAGACTGCTTAACAGATCAATGCAAATTTAATCCAGTGAGTTACACATTTTTTTAATTTTCTTTTTTTGAAATCGTATAAGTGTTGATTTTATAGATCAAAGAGTTTTCGAGCGAGACGAACGGTCTTCAAATCGTTTCCAAATTGCAGCTGCTAGCCAGAAATTCTGGGCTCGTACGGTGCATGGCAGAAAATACTTTGGGAACGGATGAATCCGAAATCGGGTATTACGTAACAGGTTCGTCGATTTGTATATTTTAAACTTCTTCGAATTAAATGCATCCGACAATTTTTCAGATATTAAAAATGGTTTCGATATGTGGACTTCGGAGAACGTAATCCATGAAGATCGTATGGACAAGGTGGCCGTAGGTGATCAAGTGGTTCTCAATTGCGGTGCTTCCGTTTACAATTACAGCAAAAACATCATCTGGTACAAAGACAATGAGCGTTTGGAACACGGCGATGGTAACTTAAAACGATACGATATTTGGTGATGAGATCTAATCCGATTTTTTAAACTTTAATTCGATAGAATTCGTAGTGGAACAAAGCTTCACGGACTTTTCATACAAGTCGAAGCTTACCATGAAAAATGTGACGTACAACGAAAGCGGAGATTACACATGCAAAGTCGTCAATCAAGCGATCACCAATGAGCTGAATGTTACTCTGAAAGTGTTAGGTACATCTGCAATCAATATTATTATCTTATGACTTTATTTGATAACGCATTCAATTCCAGATCCTCAACGTCCCATCATCTTCAAGAGCAACCTAAAAGATCTGTCGATGGATCTACCTGACTCCATAAAGATGGAATGTTTCTTCAAAGGAATTCCTGCAGCTTCAATTGCTTGGTTCAAGGTATTGTCAATTACTCCACCACAAATACCGACTGGGAATGAATATGTGCATTTGCAGGATGACAAAATGATCAAAGAAGACAACAGGACGTTTTTCAACAACAACAATCAGGTGATGTTGTTCAAAAGAACCGTCGAATTGGACGAAGGAGTTTACAGGTGTCAGGTGCGAAATCGAATTGGCGGAGTCTACAGAGCGATGAGACTGACATTCAATAGTAAGTTGACTTGTGAAGTGAAGAATTGAATTTTAATGAATCATTTGTAGATAAATCATCGCCGTACGTCAAATACGTCAGCGGAGTGGCTGGTTTTCTGCTGTTCTTGCTGATCGTGTGCATTGCATTCCTTATAATAAAATGCCGCAAGGAAAAGGTAAATAATGAAGAAAATTAAAGGATATGTGTTAATTTTTTTCTCTCGTTGTTGCTCAGAAATTGCGTGATGAACTGCGGAAGGCCGGTCTTGAGAATTTCGAAGAGGGAATGATGGAGAACATCAACTCTGAGCTGGATTTGGGAGAGCAGGCCGAATTGCTGCCGTACGATAGGAAATGGGAGTTCCCGAGGGAGAAGATCAAGTTGGGAAAGCAGTTGGGATCCGGAGCTTTCGGGGTGGTGATGAAAGCCGAAGCGGAGGGAATCGTCGAAAATGAGGATAAGAGCACCGTCGCCGTGAAGATGGTGAAGAGGAACACGGATTTCATGTACACGCGAGCCCTCGTATCGGAGCTCAAGATCATGGTGCATCTGGGGAAGCATCTGAACGTCGTCAATCTGTTGGGTGCATGCACTAAAAATATTGCAAAACGTAAGAGTAAAATCTACTTCATAATTACATTTTCTATCAACGACAAATGTGTTTTATCGTAGGTGAGCTTCTGGTAATCGTCGAGTTCTGCCGTTACGGAAACCTACATAACTACCTCATTCGACACAGGGAGAACTTCATAGATCAGATAGATCCTAAGACCGAGAAGATCAACTTCTGCATAGACGAATTACGCTCGTGCTCGTTCTCGAGCAACCGCAGGTAAAGACATATCCTTTCAGACTGTGTTCCTGGACGTGTTGCTCATCTGCTTTTCTTTCTTTGTTTTTTTCTTTCCATTTTTTTTCTTGGTGTCGGTGCATTAACATTATACACAAACACAAAAAACAAACAAAACTATTACCTGTAGTAATTCCACCTCCTCGAAAGCTAATCTTAAATATCTTGCATTGTCGTTTCCAAAAAATAACAGTGGCGGAAACTCTGATGGTAGTGGAGGAGGAGGAGTAGGAGGTATGATGGGAGCAGGAGGAGGACACGTGAATGGGATGATGGCTGATTACAGAAGCATCAATACGGGACAAACTGATACCACTTTGGTAACGATGACACCGAATGGTGTAGGAGAAGTAGGACAAGGTGATTGTTGAATGGGAAATTGGCGAACGTTAAATATATTTTACATTTTCGATGATTCCAGACGATTTGATGACTTTGAGCAACAATAGCAGTATACAACCTCAATGGAGGTCGAATTACAGGGGCGATTATAAGGGTAACGTGCAGCCTATTTGCACTAAAGATCTCCTAACTTGGGCCTTCCAAGTCAGCAGAGCCATGGAGTATTTATCATCTAGGAAAGTACTGCATGGTGATCTCGCAGCGAGGAACATTCTGCTGGCCGATAATAACATAGTGAAAATATGCGATTTTGGTCTGGCCAAGAGTATGTACAAGAACGAAAATTATAAGAAGAAAGGAGACGTACGTTGCGTTGCGTTCATTTATCCACAAATGGCTAATTAATCAAATTTCAGGGTCTGATGCCCATCAAGTGGATGGCCATCGAGTCCATCGGCGACAGGATATTTTCAATGCAATCGGACGTGTGGTCCTTCGGCATTGTCCTATGGGAGTTTTTCTCCTTAGCGAAAACACCATATCCCGGAATGGAGGCAAACGAGAGGCTGTATCAGCATCTGAAGAACGGCTACAGGATGGATAAACCTCACTACGCCACCAAAGAAATGTTAGATTCTCGCGTCAAAAATCGAATTGCAATCAATTTAATAATCTGTTTGTTTTCACTTCAGATATCGAATGATGATGGATTGCTGGGAGGCAAATCCGTTGAACCGGCCATCCTTCACCACTCTGGCCCAGCGCATCGGATTCATGCTCGAGGAGAACGTCAGACAAGTAAGATCAATCTAGTCTTGAAACTGAAAGAGTTTTTGTTTATATTTTGTGTTTTTTAGTTTTACATCGATTTGAACGATCCGTACCTACAGATTAACACGATGCGATTGGGTGGCGACGAGAGCGATTACTTAGCGATGTTCAGTCCACCAGACTTTGAGAATTTGTCTTCGCCGCAGTCGTACATAAACGAGGAGGATGCGCAGAGCCATCCGAACGGATACATGTGCATGAAGCAGGGAACTATATTCAGTCCGCGCGCGATGTCCCCATCTTCGGAGACGGCGTTTCCGTTCGAACTGGAGTCGTCGCGATCGAAGAAAAACTCCGAGTCGGAGGAAGGCGGGGTGTGCGGTCGGGAGACGGTTGTTGAGATGGTGCCGATGCTAGAACGGTCCGAACACAATCGCGATCCATCCGACTGTACGACGGCAAGCAGCACCAGCTTTTCGAATCCGAGTTATCACGCACTTCCCGTGTTAGCGCCTTCATCGCCACCACCTTCCAGTCACATCTCAGGTGAAGATATCCTGCAGGCTGAAAATAATTACGTGAACATGCCGAAGAACAAAAGCGTCTACCTGAACAACAACAAATTGCAGGAAATGGTAGACACGGGGACACCGTACGTGAACAACACGACGCGCGATTGGGAACGCGTTGGATGAACCGAAGGATCTCTTTTCCCACTGTTATGTAAATAAGCATGCTAGTCTTTTCATACAAAAATAAAAACATTTAGATCTAAGTGAATGAGAAAGTTACCGCACGAACTTGTACAAGTGCAACGCAAACTGATTAGAGAAGATAGGACATTTTTTACTTTCTTTTCACAAAAGCAATAATTGACAAATTGCGAGAAATACAAACTCTTATTTTTGCTTACTTTGTTATGAATATACCAATGCAATTAAGTAATTTAATGTTTCTTTTATTATATATTATATACATACTTAATTATAAATAAACATTTTATACACAGCGCATGTTTTTGTTTTCATTCCTATTACTTATTTTTTTTAAATTTAACTTAATAAGTAACATTCTATTTTTTTTACAATTTCAACATCATTTTGGAATTACGTATATAATTTAAGTTCGACTTAAATTTACCCACCATTTTCATTTACTAAAGACTAGTACTTTCTTTGCTGCATATCAATGGTCGTGGTCCGTCCAAGGATGCGCATGAAACTGCGGATAGCCACTGCTGCTTATCTATTAGTTTCTTATTCATTATTCAGTACTTGTAGGTAGGAGGGGGTCATATCTATTGACGATGTTCCTAATATTGAAATGTATCAGTGTAAGGGAGGTTGTTATTTCAAGGAATCTCTAACTACTGAAATGCGCAACTAAAAAAGTGAAGCTCTAAAAACTAGCTAAAGTTTTTTTTTGTTCAATTCATAGTGCCATTATAACACTCTTTTTGTACTACTGCAATAAATAATATATAAACGTTTAAAATATTATTCTTAGAAAAGTTTTTAAATAGAATATTAAAAAATAATAGTATAAATTATTTCAATCACACATTTTTAACTTAATATACCAAGTATCTCATATTTATTATTTTTAATTTTTAGCGATATAAGTTGCTAAATGTATATATTTACCGGTAAAAATACATATACGATGCTGTTGTCTGATTTATACTTACATTTACATAATCGATAAATGTATACATTTACCGTAACATATATATGTCGAATCTTCAGGATTACTCCTGAGTGAGACGTTTGGAGGAGCCATTATTACAAATAACCACTAACAATAGTTAATAAACTTAGTAAACTAATCCTTCTGCAATCTCAGAGCTAGTGATCTACATCAGCGATAAGTGTCAGCTACTGTGGCCATCCAGTTCACCAGTCTGAATCTCGAATCCCAATGACTCCATTCCCGCTGATCCTTCGGCTGACGTATTCCACTCCCACTCCTCCGGGAGAAATACCTTTCTTCCCTGAAGACCCCGAAGATGTGTTGCCCCGATCATGCACACGTGTCCGTCCTTGTTCTCCCAATTGCTGACAGTTTTATTTGGCAGAACTGTTGTTTACACGCTCCAACTTTATTTGGCAGAACTGTTGTTTACGCTCCAGCGTGGAAACAATGATTCTTTGTATCTCTGCTACGTGTGGACTACGATGTTTGGTCAGGTGCTGTTGTCTTAGATACTCCGACATATATTTGACCAATAAATATCAATATTTGTCTTCGTACTAATAATAATAATTACAATAATAATGGTTGGACACAACAATATATTTAACCCTTTCTAGCCCAATTTTTCTTTTATTTTATGCAAAACTTTATAAGAGCACTTATTTAATCATAAAACAACATCTTACCTGATTTTTTTTCATTATTCAGCATTACCTACTGTTAAAAAAACATCCAGCTTCAATTTACATTAGTTGCTGCCAACAGTTTTAATTGCCGAAAGATAAAATTGAATTTAGAATTAATTATTCCATTATAAATCACTAGGCGTCGCCTGTATCACAAAAATCTGATACGAAAGTCGTTGGTTCAATTCCGAAAATCAACAAAAATTTGTGGTGGCTGTTAAACCCGAAAAGGGGTAGAAATAGGGCCGGAGAGATTTATGTCAATAAATAAATTGATATAAATCTCTTAAACTTAAAAAAAAAAAAAAAAAAATCACTAGGCTGGAAAAGATTAAAAATATGTATATTCATTCAAAAATATTATTATATAATTGTTAAATATTCGTAGTAATAAAGTTTAGTATAAATTGTGTATGATTTGGAAACCAACTGTAGCTCATTGTATTTTTTTTTCAAATTACAGCGAACATCTATGAGTCAAACACTATGACACAGTTTGTCATAGAACATATTGTTTTTTTTTACTTTTATTTTCTTCATTTAATTTAGACACAATTCGTATATAAATAAAGGATTTTTTCTTCTCTCGATAGAATAATTTGCTAATCCAAAATGAGTCAGGAATCGATGGTGAGTTTTTATTAAACTTTGACGATGATGAGTTTATATGAGTTGATTGTAGATGGTGAACGAGAAGGTGATGATGAGTGCGATCAGGGCGAGGAGAAGGTTCAAAGCTATCGTCCGATTGGTAATAGAGAATCTGGCATGGCTGGAGGAAATTGAACCGCTGGGCGATAATATCAGGAAGAACGTGAAACTGGTGATGCGTAAACACAAGACCGCCAAAAGCTTACTTACACTCAGAGTGAGTGCATAACTTAAGCAAAACAAAAAGTAGAGGACGTAAAATTTTATTCTAGGAAAAAGCTTTGCTGAATAAACCGGCCGAGGATAGAACTGACGAGGAAAAGTTGCTTTTGTATAGGAGGATTGGAGGTTTGAAATGTTTCAGGAAATACCCTGAGGTTTGTATATTATTAAAAATTTTGACCGATGTTTTATGTTATTGTTCGGCCGCCGTTATACATGATACAGCCATAGTTTTACACTCAAATTATACACTATGGACTTTTCAAATTATTTATAGAATGTGAAAATGGAATTGGCTGGTGTGACGTACTTCGCGTACTTCGGCCCAAATAGGGTCATAGTTCGGGAACATCACTATGCGCACGCCCTTTACTTCATAATCAGCGGTGAGGTGATTGCGACGACGGAGATCATAGATCCGGTGACCTACGATAAGGTCATCAATAATATGGGCACAATGATCACCGGTCAGACATTTGGAGAGGTGTCCCTTCTGCACAACTTGCCCAGAAACGCAACCATCACCACTCTAAGTACCTAGTGAGCTGTACTTGGTTGTCTTCCAAAAACATGAGTAAATCTATTTCAGCGCCAACCGAGTTTCTGGTGCTTAAACGAGGCGACTTCGATCGCGTTCTCAAGAGTACCATCCAAACCATGTGGGACCACATCGAGTCCATCATGGACAGCTTCACATACTTCAACGACTGGGACGATCTGACGAAGAAGGAGTGCTGCGTCATAGCGAAGATCAAGTACTACAAAAAGGACGACATCATTTTCGGTGATGGATTTGGTTTGAAGCAGTGGGTCTATTTTATAGTCACGGGTAAGTGCCAGATGATCGAGAGTCTTCAGGTGGAGGTGAGCTACGTGGACGGAAAGAAAATGTACAAGCAATACGAACCAGCCGAGACGGTCAGCATCAAGGTGGAACAGCAATCCATGGATAAGTCGGTTTCGGTGCATTCAGCATCGAAGAAGAGTCCCCAAAGTTCCATCACAAATACCGTCACGACCGGCGTAAAAAAAGAGTAATATAATTAAGATAATCTTGGAAAATTTAAAAAAATCACTATCCACTTTAGATCGAAGGAATCATTGGAATCTCTTAAACCTGATTCAGAGCTGTCTTCTCAAAACTATGTTTACTTGCCGGATAACGTCGAAGAGCATTTCATGCAGGCACTGCAAATTAATTGATTAAAATTCGACTAACATAAAATTAAATATCTTTCGATCCTCGTAGGTTTGTCTGTTTCTGGAGAAGGCTTGCTTCTTCGGGGAGACAATGTTGCGACGAAGGATCGTTGCTATGACCAACGTCGAGTGCATGATCATTCCGAAATACTGGTTTCAGCTGAGGAGCAGGGCGCACATCTGGGTGCAAATAGCTCACTATCTGTACACACATATACCGACCACCAAAGATGTTTATCTCGCGTTTTTGCGGCAGAGGAAGTGGAGGGCTTACAAGAAAGACCTTATAACGTCGCTCTCTCCGAAGATACCGTGCAACACCATACACAACGTCCCGTACTCAGTTAGAATTATCGAGGATTTCGATTACGAAAGAAAATAAATATTTTTTACTCAATTCTCATGATATTTCTCGATTCATTATCTTCTTTAATTCATATAATTATTTCATGAATTTGATATTACAGTAATATATTGCATAACTTTGTTAACTTTAATGATTTTCTTAAATTAATCAATGTCAAATTTATATAATTTGTTTTATTTCTTACATACTTGCATGTCTGGTGACATACACGACTGATATTAACAATAAATAACAACAATTACTAAACAAATTTTATTATAGAATATTTTTAGTCTTAAGTTTTATAATTTTTATCGTTGACTTAAAAAATGCAATAATAATTAATATTATTTATTCTTATTAATATTAAATAACAACAATTAATAATCGGGCAAAAAAAAAATTTGAGTATCCGTCGTCGAGTTGTCTCACAAAAATATAGTAGATGGTGACTACGCTTCAGAATAATATATAAATGTTATATTAAAAATTATAATAATAGACACTGTCGGGATTTCGATATAGTCGGGATGTTGATATAGTGGGGATTATGGTTGTCATACTCATATCATCAAAATACATAATTGTAATTTACAAACATAAAAATATATTTAACAAAGTAAATAATAATTCTTTGTCTAAAAATGTTTCTTTGTCTTCTTCTTTTTTTGTGGAGAACAACCTCATTTGGGGAGAAGGTTGTAAAGAGGCGGTTGATGTTACAGATGAGGATGATGGTATAGAAGAGGTTGATGGTACAGAGAAGTTTAATGGTAAATAGGCGGTTGATGGTGCAGAGGAGGATGATAGTGCAGAGGAGGTTGATGGTAAAGTTTTTTTTTTAGTATTACATTCCTCTACAAATAAATCTATCCATTTACTAGTCCTATCCAACTCTTCTGCAGAATTTACATTTTGCATGACTACCTGTATTCTGTTGGCAAACATATTTTTATGATGCTCCAACCATAATTTGTCTTTCTCCTTCTTTCTGATACAATCAACTAAAGGAGATGTTATATCAGTAGTAGATGTTATATGTCTTTGCACAAACAGAACAAAAGAAACCTGAAGTAAACATTTTGCAGTTTTATGATGCGTTCTGTAAAGTAACAAAATTATACGCGACGCGCTTGCGCATTCTCATTCATTCCAACCCAAATTTGGATAACCGACTGGATTCCCACTATAACGTACATTGACGGTCACCAGACCGTAAATGAGAGGAGAGTGATTCATGTACTTTACGAATACTGATGCATGTGCATCTTTATTATATCTTATATATTTGTATCATGCCTCCACTCGCATTTGCATACTAATATTCAATCAATAGGTACACTAAAACAATATCTTTCTTAAACAATTTATTGTCAAAGATTAAATCCCTCCCGAACTCGAATTGAATATGGAACGTTCGCTAGGCAATTTCTCGTCGGCCTCTTACACTGCGGAATGTGAATCTTATTCTTCCATTCACGATTCTGCACAAACTTATCGAAGATGTTTTTGGTGCTGGGGATGCGCGCATCCAGATAGGCCTTAATCTGACCCCACTTGTTGGGATTAGGCGTTGAATCTATCCAGTATCGCGGTATAAGTAGCAGCTCGACAGGAGAAAGGGCGACTATCCGACGCCTCTCCATGTTTTCACCGACGCAGAAGCAAGCCTTCTCCGAATAAATGCACACCTTTAAAATCAAATTAAAAACATGAATTAAACACACACGCAATATATAAAACACAAATACCTGCATGAAGACGGTAGTTGCTTTATCAGGGAAATAATGCAAATGCTCTAGTTCGTTGTACCTCAACGCGGTTGTATCTTGAATTGCCAGTTGACTGTGAACAAGAAAGTTTGTATAATTCAATAAAAAAATGTTTTTATTTCTCATACCTGATTTCATCGTCCATACTGTGCACTGTGAGTCTCCGACTAAAATTAAAATTCATTCATTTGAAAAATACAAATTATTTAAAAATAAAAGTGTTACCTTGAAGACCTCCTACCTATCTCCATGCCACTCAGACGATGCTCGGATTGTACTAGTTTTCGTTTGCTCTTTTGGTACGGACTCACGCTTTGTCTAGATTTCGCAATGTTTTTAGCAGAAAACCTGATCGTCCCTCGTTTTTCTGAATGCACCAGCTTACTGCTTTCTGTCTTTCGCACTCCTTTAATAGGCTCTTCTCTATAAATAAAACCACAAAGTAAATTTCAACAATTAAAATTGTTTCAATTATATGAACACTTATAATACAACACTTTATATTTTATGAAAATTTCTCTTAAATCAATTTGTCTTTTTCTTATGATAAAAATCATTTGATGAAGCTTTAATTTTTCAACGATAAAACTAGATTATAGACAGAAAGTCCATTAAATGAAAATTTGTATATCCTTAATATAAAATTAATAGTAATAAAATGGTTCTTTCATGTCAACGAATATCAGAATAAAATCCCAAATTGCATTACTTGTTCGTGGAAATGTGTGGACTTCCTTGTAATGTCATCGTTGAATGGACATAATTATCAGGGGGCTTCACGTGCAGCTTGTAAGTGATTTTTCCGTTGTGAGTTTTCGTCGTGTCCAGAAGGAGGTGTTCGATCAAACGGCACTGTCCCTTCAGCAACAGATGGACGTATTGCGGCATTCCGACACCATCGCCGATGATCGTCTCGTTCTTTGCAAACTTTTTCAGCTGCAATAGGAAAACAATATGAGACTGCTCAATAAGAAAAACAGTCGTTAGGAATCAGGATGATACCTTTGAGATGACACAGCAGTTCTGTTTAGTCGGATAGTCCCAATCTTCAAAATACGTGAATGAATCCAGATGACCAATGATATAGTTCCACTGGGTCTGCAAAGTTTCTCTCAGCACCTCGTTGAAATCCTCATTGTTCACTAGCAACAGCTCAACAGGAGCTGCAATTATACTCAACAAATGTAATTATAAAGAGTAAGATTATCAGATCAAGTATAGTATGAATGAAATGAAAGATTTGAAATGTTTGTTCAATACTTTCGTGTGCAAATTAATTGTTCTCACTTGTGGTTGTCATGGTAGCGGATCTCTTCATGCCGCTAAGCAGGGAGACCTCTCCGAACATATCGCCTTTGGTTAGCGTCTTCATAAAGGTGTTTTCGTAGTAGTTGAGGATCGGATCGAAGGTCGTCACAGAGACAGAGACATCGCCGCTGATTATGATATAAAGTGCATGCGCCTCGTGGTTCTGGCGCACCAAAACGCGTCCGGGTCCGAAGAACCTAAAGTACGCAAATCCTGCAATCTTCTTCTTCACATTCTATAAGAATATAATTATTATTCGACATGGTTTGCAAAAACAAATTGCTATTTCACAACTCACATCGTCGTACTTTCTGAAACATTTTATATTGCTTATAGTTTTGAGCAGAAGACTGATGTCTTCCTCTGTGCGTTCATCGTGCGGCTTACACAAAATTGCTTTGAGCTGAAACAAACAAAATATCCATCACAACTAGTAAGTATTTTTAAAGTAACAATTAAGTGGAAATGCATGGAGGAGAAAAATGATTTTATTCTTCAGTAAAATGATCGGTTTCTGGTTGTTCGCTGCTGCTGTTGCTAGCACCTTGATCATCCTTTGTTTAGAAAATCATTAGTAAACTTGTTCTAAATGTATACCATAATTCAATTACATGTAAGGTGAGGATGCTCTTCTGCTGTCTCTTCGAGGACAAAAGCTTAACGTTCTTTCGGAAATCATGGTTCAAATCCTCTTCTGGATCACCTACGAGCCAGGCCCGATTGATCATCACCATCCTAACTAAAGCCTTGAAACGACGTCGCGCCCTGACCCCTCGCTGCCTGACATTCTCCTTAAATTTAAAGCATTATTTAGAGAACAAAACAAACAAAAAACTACAATACCGGAGCCTCTTCCTCTGCCATGATTGAAGCAAATTTTCAATACCCTTTACTTAAAAATAAATCTATCTGCAATTTTGCCCAATTGATTACAAAATCCACCCAACCCAAATCAATTACCGACACCCACTGACGCCGTTAAAAAAATAAACATTAAAAGTATTCCTTTGTATCTATGGATATATTAGAATGGATCAATAAAAATTCGAATATATTGAAAATAACGATGTGAAACATATGCAACCCAACGTACGCACACATATGATTGATGACACAAATGGGACAGTTTCATAATTTTTTTATTCTTTTATTTTACATATAATATAAGCATTTCTCTTAGAATTTAATAATCACAAATTATATAAAGCGGTTGTATCAATAATAACAACGATAATACTAATTGACTAACAAGTAATTGAGATAACATATAACATCTGATATGATCAGTTATTTTTTAGTTTATACCTTAGTAAATTATACCCTGATCAGCGTAATTAATTAACAGCCTCGCGCATTCTCCTCATACATCGTTGGGCAATATATCGGGAATCAGAAATGAGCAGAGCTCCGTCTCCGAATTCACAAAGAACACTTTGCTTGAAGTATTCTCATCCAACCTTGAACATCCATTATGATTCTATCTATTTGTCATTAATTTCAATATATTACCAAGCTTTTATAACAGTCCAGCAACCAGAAAACAGTGTTGGAGCATTCAAAACAAGGCACACCCCAAGTCTCTCCGGGTAATGTCTACTCAACAACCAAATCAGGTTCTTGATCATCTGATAGTCCATACAGCTCAGACCAAACTCCTGCAGATCAAAAACAATGCACAGATTATCAACTACCTCCTCAAAGCATTTGTTGCAAGCCTCCTCCTACAAAATAAAAAATACAAATTAATTAATTCTAACAAATTAAACATTGCAAAAACTTAACTAGGCAAAAAACAATGAACTTGGTCAGTTCATCAATATTCCTGTTATTTACATTATGGTTCTTAGCTGGGATGTAGATGACAGGCCTCCCTGCCAGATCCCTGTGCTTCAAAACAATAGCCTTCTTGGCCTCCCTGTTAGAAGCAATTAGAGGCATTTCTGGAGTTAACTCAGCCACCCCATACTCAATCTTCCATTTGTTTGTCTTCAAAATGGCCTGCACAGAAGAATTCTCACAGATTTTACCATAAGGTTAACTAGTATTACCTTAAAAGCTTCATCAGCAGTCTTGAAGGCTTTGAGGTAACGCTTCAAGGAGTAACTGTTATGGTACTGCCCCTGGTCTGCATCTGCAATGATCTTCATGCGATTGCTGAGCTCATTGAATTCATCTTCGTTGAAATTAGTCATCTTTAGAAGTGCTGCACTGTCAATCTGAAAATAACCTTAGTTTAATGAATGTATAGAAACCTTTTTTCAGTTTTCACAAATACTTTCGATTAAATTTAGTTAAAACAGAAGCTCTGATAAACCTCCTCAACGTCTCTTGTTGTTAAGGATAAGATTCGAAATTCGCGCCTTTGCTGGGAGAAATAAAATGTGGTGGAATTGATTTTAGTATCTAACAATATTCAAAACTTCATTCACCCAAGGTTTTATAAAATTACTTTAATTATCATTTTTTATACATTCTATTAATAAACTAATAAGTAAAGCTAATATTGTTTCGTGTGCCACCACCAGAATATTAAAGATCGTTTAATTCCTAAACTCAAAGTAAGCTTTATTGTAAAATTATATTGTAATTAAAGTAAAATTAACTATAAATGCATATATTTAATATTAATAGTAATATAAATGTAGGAAAAGTTGCACTGTAAATTTAGTTGCCTATCCATTCTTATTTGAAACTGGAACATATTAATCAATTGTATTAGAATTTTTAAACCAAATACACGTATAGTCCCCTAATGACAAAATCAATCAACAATATCCATCCGAGGTCTCTCCTAACACCGGTGTACTGAATCGCTGAGACCCCGATTCGAAAGTTGTTAATTAGTGTAGTCGTTCCACATGTATTTTCCCCCTGACCCCAGTAACTTAGACCAGTGTAAAGAAATCTCAAATTAATAAAAACCGTGGCTGGTGCAAGACGCGCAAGCAAAGTGAAGTCTGGAGAGGAGAAGAAGAAGAATTTTTAAAAATAGTTAAATACTTTATATTGAATTAAGAAAAAAAACTTTTGTTGTCTCAATTTTGAGACAATATTTCTTGGAAAAAATTGAAAATGGAAAATTGTAACAGATGATGAATCTTAATTCTATAAGTTTGACCCGGAAACCAAGCAGCAGCTGTCCATGGTATGGAGCGCAGATTGATTAATTGAAGAATAAACTATATATGAAAAAAGCTTTTACTAATTTAATACTAACTTCACTTTTTTATGTTACTTCAATTTGCAAGTATAAGTAACAAAGAGTTGTTTGTTGCTTGATTTACAATGTTTGTAATTTTTTTTATAAATAATAAATCATTGTTAAATGATTGTTTAAAATTAATATTTTATTAGTGAAATGTTTATATTCTATGAATGAACTAACAGGATTCCTTTTCAAATATTTTTATTGTCTTTAATACATGCAATTTGAGTAACAGGTAGTCATGTAACTTGGTTCATTCAATAATAAAAGATTATTTATCTTAACATATAGATATTGAAGCAATTCAAATGCATGTATTTGCATCATTAGTATGTGGCAGAATTATAATTTTGAATTTTATTTTCTTCATGTTGGTAGCTTTGGAGTTTGATGGCGTGTTGTTGGCAGAACCAGTAAACAAGCGAGCCGCGTTTCCGATATTGCTTCCTTCACTTCGATCCCACAATGGTAAGTACGCGTCTCTTTACGGGTGCTTCGAGAATTCTTCAAAATCCTCGATCATCCTCAACAACGAATTATTTTTCTATCTATAAAAGTATTCCACATCAATCCAAAGATGCGATCGTGCGAATATTTCGCCGTTCCACGATTTCTGCAAGAAATTACGGACGAATCTTTGGAACCTGATCGGAACTTAGCGCAATTCGAAGTTTCATGAAGTGTGTTGTCTTCATTTTAGACTACCAGCAAGAAGAAGACCAGGAAGTTGAGAGGACACGTAAGCCACGGCCATGGTCGTATTGGTAAGTAAATCCTTATTAATTATTTAGTTAACTAATTTCCACTGGAAATTAGGTTAGGTTGTTGTTAAACAATTGAATTTTGAGGGAAGCCATGTTTTTTCACAAGCATGGTCCTTGATTTACATGATGAACTGGTGAACGGGCGGACTTAAATCTCTTTGCAGAATGTTCTATTTAATCTGATATTAATAGAGAAATAAAGAACGTTTCTGCTCACGTTTGTGTGATAGGTATTTATGATATTGGAATTTTTCAGGCAAGCACCGTAAGCACCCTGGAGGTCGCGGTAACGCTGGTGGTATGCATCACCACAGGATTAACTTCGACAAGTACCATCCAGGTTACTTCGGCAAATTGGGTATGAGGAAGTACCATTTGCGCAGAAACCACAGGTGGTGCCCTGCCATCAATTTGGATAAATTGTGGACTTTGGTCACTGAAAAGACTAGGGAAACCTACGAAAACCACCCAGAAGGCAAGGCTCCAGTCATTGACTGCGTCAAAGCTGTAAGTAACGACAACGGCAATATAAAATTATTTAATTTTTCTTTCATGATGAATCAAACTAAAATAGCGACAGGCGGACTTAGCTTTCCCATGCTGATACATGTTTATAACTGATCAAACATAAATATCATGCAATGTCCGTTTGTTTAATATTGTCAACTAGAGATACTTAAATGTGTATGTAATTGTTGCAGGGTTATTACAAGGTCTTGGGCAAGGGCCGCATCCCCAAACAACCGGTTATCGTTAAAGCCAAGTTCTTCTCCAAAACCGCAGAAGACAAGATTAAAGCTGTTGGGGGCGCATGCGTTCTCTGTGCTTAAATTTGTATTTAATTAAAAACTTAAAAGAATATCACGTTTTATACTTTTACATCCATGCAAACTTCCCATTTCCTTTCAACAATATCGTTATTTGCAATACATTTTCTTAAAATGTTGGCTAAATTTCATTAAAATTTACAATTAGGCACTTTGTTGTTAATTTCTTACAAATTATGTAATTTGCAATTATTGCAACTAATTCTAACTACGACAATTGGAAATTAAGAGATAGACTGGTCGTCATCTAAAGAAATATATTTTATACACAAATCGTAACAGGTGATGAATCTTGGTTCTATAAGTTCGACCCGGAAACCAAGCAGCAGCACATGGTATGAAGCGCAGAAAGACTAAATCCTCCCAGTTAAAGGATCACTACTGAAATAAGCAACAACTTTCTTGCGCTCCTGGAATCAACGAACTTGTGATTTCTGGCTGTTACCGAAAATTAAAAAAAATGAGGGAAAAGTCTTCAGTTTCAAACAGATCATTAATTCAGTTAATGACAAACTTGAAAAACTCCAAAATGCCGGTTTCGAGGAATGTTTGATTGAAAATAATGTAGAGAAATTAAAAAATAATGAATATTAAAATAAAATTATTTTTTTGTTTTTTGCCGTCCACCTTAGCGAACTTTTGTTAGTTCGATATAAGTTACGTAAGGAAAAAAAAAGTACGTTGTACAGTTTCTTAGCATTGAATTGTTTCATTAGCAGTACTAGTAGAAGGGCATAAAGAAGTGTTTTGGATTAACTTGCATTCTTATATCCAATTCATTGTTTCCATACTTTTTGACGATTGTTTTATATTTAATATAACTTCAGAACTTTCGCTTGAACACTTTCGTTAAAAAATACTTAGAAACTTACCGTCAGAATTTTTATGTTTTTCTTTACAATTTTACATTTTTTTTCATTGTTTTGAAATATTCCTTTTATAAGTTGTTCCCATATACAGATTTTTTAACTATTATAGCTTAAATATCTTGGAATTTGTTAAATGTACTTTCTATATTAAATCAGAAAAATTAAACATAAGTTTTAAGTTATTATTGTGGAGGTGGAGGTACAGGCATAACTCCCATCAACGGAGGCGGAGGTGGCATGGGGTTGAACATTGGAGGTCTGGGTGGTGGAGGCACCGGCAACATTGGTGGTCCCGGAATGCCGATCATATTGGGCCTTCCTAAAATGGGGCCAGGTTTCTTCGCTTCATTCTTGAAGGCAAACTGCAGGAAAAACTGCTTTGTATCGCGATTCCAATAAGTCCAGAACTTGTTGTCAGTTTTTTCCACTTCCCTGCTTGGGACTTTAAACGCTATCGTCTCGTACGGCTCAGCTGCAAACAGTAAATACTGCCACTTGCGATCTGGAGGCTCCTGCTTCTGCTCATAAGCGGACATGAATCTGTGCCTTGGATATACTTTATCAGCAATTTCTGTAAAACAAGATTTGTTGTAGTCAAGTAGTTTATCTTTATTTATATGATTTTTTTTTACCTGGATAATCAATTTGGAACAACAAACTTTGTTGACCAGTCTCTGGTTCTCGCTGCTTGGTCACCCTGTATCCAGGTCTACCGATTTTAACGAATTTTTTGGGTTCAACCCTGGGTTTTTCTGGGGCCAACAATGTTGGTGCATCTTTGGCCTCCTTTGCAGCTCGTCTGGCCAAGTTTGCTTGATGCTTCTTACCCTGGGTGTGGGCCAAGTAGCTGCCCTCGTTGTTGTGCAAAGTCAGACAGAGTTTACATTCGTACGAACCCAAGTGATTTTTCATAAAATAGGGGTCCTTCTGCAGATCAATCGTCTCCAAAGCCAACTGTCTGAGACGCTCCCTGCGGTCGCGGTTGCTTTCAGACCAGGAGGCGACACCACCGCCTCCCGTCTTTCCACCAGGTCGGTTTTGGAAATCCATTTCACCTTAATCACCTCATCCACTTCTTGCACCACTTTTCAAACACCCTCGTTCCTAATATATAATAACTCAGCGTATGAAAACAATACGTATTAACATAGGTTATGTTTTCTTTCAAAGAAGTTACATTACAAGTTGTAGCAATTGCTAATAGATGGTATTACAAAAAATATAATTATAAAATAGTTAAACGCAAAAATCTCATAAACTCACAAACAAAGGTTAAATTTAGTTAAATTATTAAATACAATTAATATATGTACAAAATAATATTTTATATGTTATTAAAAAAATATTTTTGTCAATCTCACTACTTTAGATACTACTCAACAGATGGCCATCGGTTCGTTCGAAATCCCAACTATATCGAAATCCCGTCGTTCCAAATCCCGACTCGGGATTTGGATATTCCCTGGCATGCAAGGCGCCATGGTGCAAATAAATATCAAGTGCCTATAGATTGGCAAGGGGGGTAATAAATATGTGACAATAAAACATTTTCATTATGGAAGTCCATAATAGCGCCCTTGTTCGGCGCTCAACTTGTTCATCTAGTTACGCCGACCCTAATTATAAAGTCCTTTTGTACTAACTTTTAGGTTCCTATTAGCAACAATAATATTGCGGTAGAATACCATTTGGTGGTAGAAATAAGGTTTCTTCCTTTATATTACCAAATATTAAAAAAATATATTAAACGTGTATTAGATTTTACGTGTATAAACACTAGAGTAATAAGATTCTATTCTTGCGACAAAATGTCGGTTAAGAAAAATAAAAATAATCGGGTGTTTCAAAGAGACCGTATTTGGTCATTATTGTGTTTATAAATTGGGTTCCTCGTGAAAAATAAACAAAATCATATCTGTTAGTTTTGCTGAAACGTGGATGTTTATTTAAAGATTAAAATGTTGTTATCAATAAGAATATAAAATATATATTTTTTAACAGCTGTATGTAGATGGGCAGCATTTCGGGTATTCGCTGTTCTTGTCGAACTTGTCGTATTTGCACTTGGGTGGAAGGTTGACTGAGCTGCAACTGCAAATGGAAAAAGAAAGGACATTCGATTAATAGAATTTGTTTGTTTTGTTTCAGATGAAGACGCGAATCATACCCGGAATAGCTAACTTGACCGTTGGCCAGGCATTCGGCGACTTCGCATACACTTGGGACACTCTTTTTCTGGCCGACGTTCATTTTACCGACCTTCTGCGAGATGCAAGTACCTTTCGCTGCAAAAAAAAAAATAACAAAATCATTAAGAAATTAATAGTACAGTAAAATATGTTGCTTCCTAAGTAGATTTTTGTTGGTTTTAGATGTTGTTCACTTACGTGTGTTTGGAGCCGGTCCTTCGACCGTTACGTATGCGGCGCAGACGGCGATGCCGACGAGCAGAAAGAAAAGTGCGGATTTCATCTTCAGCGGAGGATACCAAAAACTGTTTGAGCCACCGCAGCTGCCCGCAAATCTTTATATATACGAACTGATAAACCTTTCGTGGAATCAAAGGTTACGGCCCAGATTAAATGTTATTGTTTTGCTCTCGAAATATGGATGCTTCTCTTCTCCTTTTTTTTTATCAGGGAATAACTGTGACCCAAAAAGAAAAAAGGCATATAAAATAGAATTGGGAAAAAGTGAAATTTGATGAGATTTCTCGGACTCAGTCGCAGATGATTTTCTTGCAGCACTCTGGAAATGATAACGTTTTATCGGATTCCACGAACTTGCAGTTATCTTGCAGACGTAACAGCTTGCAACTGTAAAAAAGAAATGATTACAATTAAATTGGTTTTGATGATGAAGTTGGTGAAATGAAGTGGGGGTGAAGGTAGCAGCGAGCAGGAAGCTGGAAATACCCTTCGTAATTGATGGTTCCGTCGCTCAGGCAAGTCGCCTCCAAGCATTCGTCCTCCACGAAGCTCTTCTCGCCGTGCTTCAACGTCCCCAAAGGATAACTCTTCGATAAACAATTTCCTTCACCTAAATTCAAGAGAAACGATTATCTTAGCTATAGGTACTTAATTTATCTTTTAATATCTTTATGAAAAAAGTAATACCTGCTTCTGAATTTGATGGCTCGATCATAACATATCCGCAGGATTCGGCAAAGAGCGCCGAAAGCAGGAAGCAGAGCGTCCAATGTAATTGCATTATTTTGAACGAACTGCTATGATGAGGAGAAATTGCGACGGTCGATATATAACTGTAAATTATCGACGATGCAGAGGTCGGAATTATGCCCCCGTCGACTGCAAAGGTTAATCAATATTGCCAATATCTGACAACAACAAACATTATAATTAAAGAAGTGGAAATAGTTCACAAATCTTAAATGGCTGCTACTAAATTGTTTGTTTCTTTTGGTATTGATAGATTCTAATATAAAATGTCGAACATTATTTTTGGTTGATATAATTTATAAATCAGATTCTATGACAAGCTTTTTCTTTTATTATTGGTTATAAATTCACAATGACTATGAACTATAAAAACAGTAAATGTTAATAGTAAATAGATCGAAAATGCAAACTAGTAAACATCAATTAGAACAAATGATGCGATAACGATGTGTTTGATTTGCATAATTAATACGTCGTCATTAATATTATTGACTCGTTTTGAATGTCGATTGCTGCTCTCTAAATTGTCACTATATTACCATTTTCACTTGTATTTCGATTAATATCATATAAAAAATAACTCTTAAAAATCACTTTTTGTTTTCAAACTTTTATTTGCAAATGCAATCAATAGCAAATATATCTAGCAAACATTAATTATTGTTTATTTATGTTTTGTATACATATAATTATTTAAAGATAGAAAAGTCAATGTAATATAAAAATAATTCTTTGATTAGTAAGTTCATTTTTAAATTATCTCTCCCGGTAGAGAGTTTGAAATAATTAAAAAAATTTCATAGAATTTTCTAGCATAAGTTTCTAGCATTCTAATTTTGAGGCCCTAAGTAAAACTGTTTGGTGTCTCCTTGTGAATGCTGTGGATGCGACGAATCCCTAACATTTTAAAATGTCAAAGAGTATTTTCATATCGTATCATATTTGAATTTCATGTAATTATTTCATATATAGTTATTTTAAATTCCAGGCGTCTTTAGAAAATGTTTATAAATAGAATATAATTAATTAAATACATTTTTCAAAAACCAATTTTAGTTATTTTTTTTTCTTGAAATAATATAATAACAAAATCTAAACGAAAATGAATTTTGTTAACATTAACAAAAAAATACGATATTTTCTTTACGATAAATACTTTTTTACAAATATTGTATATGAAGTTTCTGAATTTACATTCATTCGTAAAATGAACATGTATTTTCTATATATGTAAAATAATGTATGTTCTATATTTAATTTGTTGTTCAAATCATCTAAACTCTTCAAATGTTTCAATGTTTTAATAATTGAGTGCAAACATAAATATTGCGCGTAGAAAGCAACTGGTTTTTGTGAAATTTACAATGATTTTAATATAACTGTTAATTTCTTAATCTCTTTTTGAATTGTGTCATTTATTTTCTATTTACGGAAACTAACATCAATTTTAAATACTAATTTGTAACTCTGAAATAGTGAAATTTATAGAAAAAAAAGTATTTAATTTCTGCTTCTTGGATTACATATGAAACGAAAATAAGAATATTTAAAAATAATTTTGAATCCCAATGTCAACAAAAATAACAACAACTATTTCGTCTCAAACAATACAAAATATTATATTTTGGGAAGTAGAATAACAATGTTTTAATTAAAGGATGGTTTTCTATTTATGTTTTATTCTATTCTTGTTATTTTTTTTTAAATAGATCAAAATTTAATATAAATGCAAACTGATATTGCGGTCATTGCTTAAGTAGAATGAACAATTACTAACAATTACTTAATAGATGAATTTGTAGTTGTATAGTTCACAACAGGGGCGCTCAGACTTAAAGCATCGGCGATTTACAATTTATTAAATATTAAGTGAAGTTTTTATAAATTGAATGTAAAAAGTTCAAAAATATAATATGTAATTGATTGATTTGCCATCGACTGTTTGAGTACCCCTGGTCTACAATAATACACATTATATTAATAATTAAATAAGATTGAAATTTAAGTTTTAAAATGAAAAATTGTTGAAAATTTTTTATTAAAATATGATTAGATAATGAAAAATTTTATCGCAAGCTACTGTTGTCTATTCGATAATTACACTAGTTCACAATTACAATGTATATTCAATTAAAATTACTTTTGTTTAAATATTTGCATCAATTTCAATACAGGTATTTACGAATTTGTTCATAAGTCGGCGGAATTTTAAATATTTTATCACTATCATGGTTTTTACTTTTATATATGTTAAATTCCGTATTACTGACAGCATAAATTTGAAAAAATAGATTAAAATAAACAAAATATTTACTTACAAATACTTTTCAATGTAGACATCACAATTATTTAATAAAACCGACAAAAGAAACAAATGCAACAATGTATATATAGTACATCTACAAATTTTAAATTTTTCTGGATAGTTAATTTTTGTATCACTATATATCTTCTTGTAACAAGTTAGAGCTTTTAGAATTTCGTTCGTAAGTCCAGGAGTTCGTAATTGTAAATATTATAGGGCAATAAATATAAATATAAATATCATAATCATTATTACATATTAGTTTTAGATATAGAAGAAGTAGTATAGCAAATAGTATATTAGATTTTTTTTGAAACACTTAACTTTTTTTTAATTTATTATATTTGTATTATTGTATTGAGTTTTTATTTTGTAATTGACTTTGTATTTTGTTCTGCTTCAATAAATATTATTATTATGAATTTTAAATTTCGTATTTAAGTGGACTTACACACCCACGTGGCAAGTTATTAGTTCCGATTTTTGTTTTTATATTCGATAATAATAAGTGGCGGATTATGCATTACGGCAATGAGGTTTAGGGGCCTCAGGTTTTCAAGAAGTTACGAAATGTTTAATAGATGGCACTACAAAAAATATAATACAAAATAATACTACTCCACAGTTCGTCTCGAACAACTGAGTGTACAAGTTCGCAGAGGACGGACAGCTAATTAAAAGGTAGGAGAGATACAATCATTCCCCAATCCGTTTGAGGTAGGATCGTAGGTAGGTGTAGGATCGTTGAGCCCTCTAGGACTGATTCACCCATCATGGGGGAAACTCGGCAGGGGGGACCTCAAAAGAGACTCCTCCTGTTGCCGACCTTATCGATTTCATTGACAACGTTTTGAAGAAAAAAAAAAGCTTTGAATTCGCTAAAAATAGATAAGGCGCTGGTAGAGAATATGTCTCAAGCGTTAGCTTATAAAGATAAGCAAGGCAAAACAGGTCCGATTACGCCCCAGATCTCCGATTTCATCAAGATGCATATAAAATACTCTGGGTGTGATACGATTTTTTTTGCGCCCAAGGACGAAGGGCCGTTCACCGTAAACGTAGAGCCTCAAACAAATAGTACCACATCAATCTGGCCAATGTCAATGGGCAGCAAACTGAAAGCAAAAAGGTTAAGTAATGTAACCAAAGTTGACAGTAGAGGACGCAACAGAGTAGCGGTTACTTTTAACAGCACCAATGCGTTCCACAGGTCGTCTTTCCTATTACAGGAATCGCTGAAAGCTTACATCCCATCCCACCTGCTCAGCTGTAGGAAGATTGTACGGAATATCGAAATAGAATTTTCTGAGATGGAAATATTAGAAGAGATGAGGTGTGCGGACAGTAATAAAATTGCCAAAGTTGAGAGAATCAATAGGAAAGCGACGAACGAGGACGGTGGCTTCGAGTATGTACCCACCAATTCAGTAATAGTGACTTTTTGTGGAAAGAGAATGCCCAAGTCGGTGTATATTTACTACAACAGCAGACCGGTGGAGGTGTTCGTACCAAGGGTCATCCAATGTTTTGGATGTTTACGGTACGGACATACCAAAACCATATGTAAAAGCCCATCTATAAGATGCCTAGCCTACGCAAAAGATCACCCTCTCGATGTGCCCTGACAGAGATGCTCCGGTTTGTCTTCATTGTGGAGGCAACCACATAACCAACGATCAGAACAAGATATTGGCAGAAAGGAAATGCCCGGAATGCCTGCGACAGAAAGCGATCAAATCTAACATGGTGAGCTATCAGTGCTCGTTCTTCGAGGCTGATAAAATGTCGCGACAGAATACCCAGATAAAGACACAATACAGGATCGCTTTTCCGGATACAATTAATAGACAAGACTCGATACCGAGCGACCACCAACAAGAAGTCGTTTGCTCAAGTTGCTCGAACCCGATCTCCCCCAGCTTCTACCATGTTTTCTGTCTCCTCAGCAAGGACCATTGCTTGGGACCACTCCTATGAGCCGGAGGCTCCGAAAAGGAAAAGAATGGGACCAAAATACATAGAGCGAACCAGGAAGGAGCCCAGTCCAAAGGTGCTGGCATATAAACAAACGCCGTCGGAAGAAAACACTGAGAATGAAAATCTCGCCTTAGTAATATTCAAGTTAAATACAGATATAAAAACTAAAGGATACTGACAAAATTCGCGCCTAGGAAGGACAATGGAGAGACAAGTTTGGAGAGTGAGGATTCTTAGCTGGAATGCTAGGTCTCAACATGAACCTCTATCTTAAAAAAGAAATCCACGATCTAAACATAGACATCTTATCCGTAGGGGAAACCTGGATGTCTCCAGGATCTTCTATGTCTACACCAGGATTTAACGCTTATCATGAAGTGCGTCAGGACGACAAGGGAGGGGTTTCCGTCCTGGTCAGGAAAAATCTAAAGGCCAGATGCAGCATACCATCTTTTCTGCATCCCCCGAACGCGCAGTTTGTGCACACGGTCATGGGAGAACTAAAAATAATCTCCTTATATATTCCGCCGAATGTAATTATGGAGAAAGACCGTATGGAAAGAGGTCGTATCTGTTAATGGGAGACTTCAACGCGCACCACCCGTACTGGTGTCACGCTAGGGCTAATAGGAATGGACAGGAGTTGGCGGTTGTCATTGATCAGTACGAGCTAGTCAACATGAATGACATGCTTCCAACCCGTGTAGCTCGGATAACCGCTAATGTGTTGGACCTGGTGTTGGCCTCGAGACCGGCATCGACCAGCGTAACCTCTGAGACTCTCGATGATACCATGGGAAGCGATCACTTTCCTCTGCTGTCATGCTACCATTTTGGAATTCCGACACCGACCATCAGTAAAGTCAACGATAACAGGCTGATCTCGAGGAAGGTGGACTGGTCTGAATACGGAATATTGACGGAGGAAAGATTAGTAAACTTAAGATCGCCAGAGGAGCTCCCTAGAATAATGGTGGACTCTGCGATGGAGATAGGTGGAACTGGTGACCCCCGGGGGAGCCGACAAGCCTCCTTGCCTTTGGTGGGACGTCGAATGCAGTGAGTCCGTAGCGAAGAGGAAAAGGCTGCTTAAGATATACAAACAAACCAAACGGTTCAACCATCTAATTGTTGCCAACCGTCAGATGGCAGATTCGGACAGATGTAGTTGCGGGTCAGTGGGGACGCTGGATCACATCGTCTTTGCATATGAATGCAATTGCTGCATAATAGAATTCCCATGCCCACGTCCATACTGTGTCTCATCCAATCCGAGGACGTTGGCGTCTGCAGAGCAATTCTGAAGTTTATTAAAACATTCAATGCCTCCGTATGATTTAAATTTGTTAATGTTTCTAACTTACATCCTTCCGAGGTCTCTCCAAGAACCTAGGTACTGACCCCGGTTCGAAATACGTTAAATTTTTATGTTCGACTCGTAACCTTTCTTGTTTTTACCTGTCTTGCCGTATCTCTCCTATGTATATATTTTATAGAAGTTAGTTTAAGTTTGGTTTAATAGTTATTTTTTAGTTTCGTTAGAAGAAGTTGTTTATTTTGATTATTTGGGCTGAAGAAAGAAGTTTTGGTTTTATTGGAAAAAGCTGGTTACTTTAATTATTTGGGCGGAAGAAGAAATCCGAAGAATAAGTGTTATTTTGTTTTTTTTTGTGCTTTGACTGAACAGACAGTGGCTGGCTTGTTGGTGCAAAATGCGGAAGCCAAAAATTACACCTAGTTGCGGCGGCCCTGATAAGGTCCTTTTATACTAACTTTTAGGTTTATCTTAGCAACAATTATATTAAGGTAGTATATCATTTAGTGGCAGAAATAAGGTATTAATTTTTGCATTACTAAATATTAGATAAATATATAAAATGTATGCTATTTTTTATATGATTTTTTGTACAATATATTATTATTTCCCTGACAGAAAGACCTACATACAGTCAATAGTCTTTTGTAACAGATCAATTTGTTTTTTTATTTTCTTGTTATATTATGTTTTTTTTTGAGTATGTATTATGATCTGTTACAATAAATGTTGTTGTGTCTTAAATTTTATTAGATATTTGATAAGAAATTAAAGTAATAAAATACAATTCCTGTGACAAAATGTCGCTTAAGAAAAATAAAAAGAATCGGTTATTTGAAAATGATGAAAAATAAACAAAATCATATTTCTTGGTTTTAGTGTAATGTTGATGTTTATTTAAAGATTATTGAAATGTTGTCATTATCAATAATATTACTGAATATATTTTTTTTAACATATGTGTTCAGGGCAGCAATTAGGATATTCCCTGTTCTTGTCGTCTTTGCACTCAGGTGGAAAGTCGACCCAGTTGCAACTGCAAATAGCAAATTAAAAGAGAATTGATTAATAGAATTTGTTCGTTTTATTTCAGATAAAGGCGAGGATCGTACCCGGCAAAGTACACTAGACCGTTGTCAAGGCATTCAGCTTCTTCGCATACACCTGGCACACTCTTCTTCTCGCCGAAGATCATATCACCGACCAACTCCGAGATGCAAGTACCGTTCGCTGCAAAAAATAAATAAAAAAAAAATTAAGAGTAGAGAAAAATATGTTGCTTCATAAGTCCATAAGATTTTTCTTCACTTACGTGTGTTAGGGGCCGGTTCTTCGTACCTCACGTATGCGGCACAGGCGGCAATGCCAACGAGCAGGAGGAAAACTGCAGACTTCATTTTCAGACGAGGTTATCTCGCGGACGCAATAGCTTGCAACTGTAAAAAATGATTACAATTAGATTGGTTTTGATGGTGAAGTTGGTGAAATGAGGTGGGGGAGAAGGTAGCAGTGAGCAAGGAGATGGAAATACCCTTCGTAATTGATGGTTCCGTCGCCCAGGCAAATCGCCTCCAATAATTCATCCTCCACGAAGCTCTAGATGTGCTTCAATGTCCCCGAAGGATTACTCTTCGACAAACAATTTCCTTCACCTAAATTCAAGAGAAACAATTATCTTAGCTATAGGTACAAATATAGCTTTTTATATCTTTATTGCATTAGTTATTAGTTAAATTTAATTAAAAACAAATAATGAAAAATGAGCTTTTGAAGGCTCATATTCGCAGGATTCGGAAATCAATATATATATGTGCTGAATGTGTAAAGAAATAAATATTATAAGGTGTTTAATTAGAGCAGAAAGACCTTTGATTAATAGCCCTTTGCAGCAGTTGAATTTAATTTTTATTATTTTATTGAGTATTTTTTATTGTTGCAATAAATTTCACGTAAACAATAAAACATTAAACTCAGTCCATTTAATATATATATAAATCGAATGTTCTCTTATTGCTCAAGTTCACTGTATTGATTAATTCAATTAAAAACGTAACGCCAATTACGAAATTGAAAATTCGTGTGATAGTTCAAAGCTAAATTAAATTCGAGACTTCTTTAGAAAATATCTATAAATAGAATAAAATTAATAAAATACATTTTTTTAAATCAATTTTAGTTGATAGATAATATTGATTAGGTAATACAATTATTTAATTTTCTGTGCCAATTTCATTAAAAATCTTCATTTTATAATAATTTATTATAGGCAACCAACTTTACTCGAAATATTTATATCATTTTATAATTAGTATTGAAATAATAAAAAATATAAAAGCAATTGAATTTCATTAAAATGAACAAAAAATACGATATTTAATATAAAACAGATAATGCTAAAATAAATACTCTTTATTGTGGTTGTGTATATTTGGTGGTGTACCAGAACTTTAATCTTTCAAATATTATTTAGGAAGTTTCCGTATTAACGTTTATTGGTAAAATGAATATGTATTTTCTATATATGTAAAATAAAGACAAACTAAAGACTTTTGACAAAAGCATAGAATGAAATATAATTGTTTATTAGAATTACCTAAATATTGGTACAAGAGAAATGACCACTTCTGCAAAGTGCTTATTAAGCTTTAAACTCTTCAAATGTGCTAATAATTGAGTGCAAACATAAAATAACTTTTTTTTGTTAAATTTTTTAATCTCTTCTTGAATACTGTAATTTATTTTTAATTTACCGAAGTTTATATCATTAAATTTACACAATTTTAAATACTAATTTGTAACTCTAAAATAGTGAAATTTATGAAAGTAAAAAAAAAGAAGTTAATTTCTGCTTCTTGGATTACATATGAAACCCATTTGAATCCCAATGTCAACAACTTTTTCGTCTCGATCAATACAAAATATTATATTTTATAATGTAGAATAACAATTTTGTAGGCAAAGACAATGATGGTTTCCTATTCACGTTTGCTCGATGTTATTTATTTTTTAATAGTTCACGGTCGTTCACACATTTTGAGTTGCAAAGCAATCACACATGTTTTTAAATCAACAATCTATGGCGAATCCACTTGGAGAGAAATCAACAAAATGTTGGTATTTATATGTAGTTAATAATATACAAAGAGAGAGAGAGAGAGAGATAAAGGATAAAAAAAAACTTGTTGACTGATGAAAGATGATTTGCAAAAGGCGGTGTGCATTAATTTGAAATGTGCGGAGAAACCAGCGTAAACAGTTCGATAAGATTAATGCAAACTTTGATTAATATGGAACCAAAGAGTGTGTTGAGAAATTTAGTCATTCATGTATATTTATCATAATAAAAATATGCATATTTACTACTTGGATTTTGATTTGCATTTGTTGTTTTTGCGATAAAATTGAAAGTAGATCAAATATCAAACTGGTATTGCGTATTAGTATTGTTTAATTAGAAGGAACAATTTTCAATAATATAGAGAAAAAGAGACAATTTACAAAAAAAAAACATTATCACCTTTAAATTAATTATACATTTTCATAATTTAACTAAAAAATAATCAGTAACATTTTGTATAGTCTACAATAGGACACAATATATTAATTAATTAAGGTTAATATTTAAGTTTTAAAATGAAACATTTTATCGCAAGCTACTGCTGTATATTTGATAATTACATTACTTCACAATTAGAATGCATTATTTGCATATATTAGATTGCTTGTTTTCTTTTTATGGCAGACATTACTTTCAGAGATAACTGAAAGATTTAATGTTTTTAATTCACATGTTTAACTCGATTAAATCTTCCTAGTCATAGTATTGATTGTGTGATTCAACGATAAAATTATAGCAACAAAAAATGTTTTCGTCCGATTTGGATTTGATATTAACTTTATATTACTTTTTTTTAATATTTACAACAATTTCAATATTTACTTAACTGAGAAATGTTACGATAATTGTTAATTAATTTCGTGTTAACTGAATGTTTATAAAAAATGGTTTGTAAATATTACAGGACAATAAACATAAATATCATAATCATTATCAAATATTAGTTTTAGATATAGAAGAAGTAGTATAGCAAATAGTCCATAATTCGCCACTGCTAATAATAGTATCAATTGAAATATGGTTCGAGTTTTAAGTGGACGAAAACGAATTGGTTTAAGGTATGAATTGTGGTGTGAATAGAAATACGTTATTCGAATACAATGAGAATGGAATCACATTTACATAACGTGCGCATTATGTAAGCTCGTGCACGCAACGTAGATAATTTGTGGAAATTTGCGCCTGGAATTTGTATTGGTTCGGTTTACCTTGGAACTTAAACGCACCAGATGATGATGGTTAACGATGTTGTCCCAAGGATATGTATGGGCTCTTGAGGATAAGTGCAAAACGCATGCGTGCCGCACTTATCAATCCAACAAAAAAAAAATAGAAAATACTCCGGGAGCGCTCTCTTAATAATATTTATCCGGCATCTGCAAAAGCGTGCGGAGCGTTCTTTTTTGGTTTCACAAGATTTGCGTGCGCGAAAGCGTGGTTATACGACGAGATGTCTTTGGTGGGAGCCGTTTGCAGGAACGTCCTCAGGAGGAGACCTCTTCGGAGGATACGACAGCTGCAGGAGTTCTCGACGATGACTACGACGAAGGATTTCGTCGTGTCTTCTTCGGTTCCGGACGTCCACATTCCGGATGTCCCAGTGCACGAGTACGTCTGGAGCAACTTTGATAGATGGCACGATAAAATCGCTGTGGTGAGTAATTAAGCCACCTGAAGTGGCCATAAGTCATTCTTAATGAAAGCCGCGAAACAACAGGTTTATTTTATGTTCGCCGCATTAAAATTACTTGCAAGAAGAAAAAAATAAAATATATATATATATTCGCGAGAGTGGAAACCATAAGCAAACCATTGTTTCGTGCAACAATTACGCGTTTCTTGAATAGGCGTAATAAATTCAAGTAATTGAATTTTACCTGTAAACATTTAACAATAACAAATAAACGTCTCAACGTTGATTGCGAAGTATAATTAAAAAATCTGCACGTAAAGTAAATTGAAGTGAATTCCAAAAAAAAAAGTTCAAACTTAACATTTCACTCCTCTCTATTTTTAAATGTTCATCCGCATTTATCGCATGGGCACATCTGCATTCCATGTGTGTCCACAAATTCAGAATTACCGCATTTTTCCTCTAATATCTATGATTTTTTTCATTCTTCGAAGGGTGGGTAAAAGTAAAAGAATTTAACTGCAACTTCATTACCATCTAAACAAATAATAATTTACTTCAAGTTATCTTGATTTATAATCAAATCTATGTTAAATTTAATACAATTTTATTTCCCCTATTAAAAGTTAAAAATAATTTATCAAATAGTATTATTGTATTTACATATCTCGTTATGGAAATCCAATATTGCTAGCATATGTTATTCATTTCCTTTGTTTATGTAATATTTATCGTACGGAAATTGATACAATTTTATTTACACCTATTTACGTAATAACTTGAATGGTTCGAATAATCATATTACTACTCAAATATACAAATGAATTTATTACATTTTGCAAGGTTTTTAAAAATTAATGAAATATCCATTTTTGATTTATTATAAAAACATTTAATTTAATAATTAACTTTATATTCATTCAGTTTTTTCCATGAATTCTAACAAATGTTATAAAAGCTATATATGTATGCTATTAATGTTTACGATTGTTTTAATGGATATTAGAAATTGCATAATAAAATGATTCGTCATGTATGATTAGGGTTATAGTAATTATTTCGTGTTCTAGGTCAAATAGATTATAAGTCATAATCCTATCCATTTATTGCTGGATAAGATTAACCCTTTTATTACATTACTTAATGATTTTTTTAAACTAATTTATTTTTTAAATATTAAGCTTGAATTTAATTTAAAATTTAATTCAAATTAATAGTTTCAAGATGATTCCAAAAAATGACTCCTAGATAATTGAAGTTTTTGAAAATGCATCGAAAAAATCTATGAAAATTCCAGTCTTGAAGATGAATCTAATAAAATAAAAAAAAACAATTTAAGATAATTCAAAAATTAATTAAAATTTAGGAGAATTTTTAAAGATTAATGAAAAAAATAACTAAAATCTAGGATAATTCGTTTTTTTGAAAAAGAAAAAAAAAATAACTACAATTTTAGATGTTTTCATATCGAAAAGTTCATTGAAATTCAGAACAATTCAAGTTTTTTGAAACTTGATGGAAAAATTAATTAAAATTTAGGAGAATTAAAGTTTTTAAAGATTAATCAAAAAAATAACTAAAATCTAGTATAATTCGTTTTTGTGAAAATGAATAAAAAAATAACTACAATTTTAGATGTTTTCATATCGAAAAGTTCATTGAAATTCAGAAAAATTCAAGTTTTTTGAAACTTGATTGAAAAATTAATTAAAATTTAGGATAATTCAAGTTTTATAAAGAAAAAATAAACAAAATCTAAGATTATACAAGTTTTAGAATATTCAGAAGCAATCAATATTTCATAGACATACCAGATTACGCTTTATCAGTGGATTATACAAGTTTTTCGTTATCTGCGACACTCAATCATCTATTTGCGATTATTGCAGGAAGACGGCTGAAATGTTTTTTTTGTTCTTTTTATTTTCGCAAATCATACATATTAATTGCGTCTATCCAAAACGGCCGAATCATTCGGTGATAACGAAAATAATCAAACAATTTCAACAGAATGATGTTGTTATTTAACAACAAAGTAAAAGTATATATCACGGCCTGAAAATTGCTTAAAAAATGTTGGCCATTGACCTCGAAATTCTATAGTCGCGCGAGTTTGTATTTAAAAAAATATATAATAAGATACGGTAATCAAGGTTTCACACGTTCTCGATAAAAAAGAAAGAGAGAGAGAAAATGTAAATATTATAGAGCGATGTTTTTGTTGGTGTTTACGTTTTGGCCGGACATTAATTAATTTTGTCAATAAATATGAGAATCTAGAGTGTGTAGAAACGGCGCGAAGGTTGGAGTGTTTATTTAGGAACTCGATGTCATTATCGTCTCCGCTGTCGCTCGAGGACTGAATCCAAACGGTAACACGAGGATTACCGAAATTCATGTAGACTTAATTATAATATAATCTAATTGGTGGTTTGAGGAAGGGGATTGTTGAATAACAATAATAATAATCATAATGATAAAACACATGTCCGAATCCATTAAAAGCGGATCAAAGTGTTCCGATCCGCACGCAATCCGCTCCAAGCCCCCTTATATATTTTATCTTTAGCTATGTTTACTCTGCAAATGGAGACAATTTTAATTGAAAATTTGTAGTATATTTTACAATATTTTTAGATATTTTATATATAGATATTAAAGATAATAGTTTAAAAAATCGGATGACCCTAAACAAATTTCCGTGTTAAAATTGAAATAAAAAAGTATGCGTGAAGCAATATCTTCTATTTATTGATTTTCGTAGTATTATCAGTTTTTCTGTAATAAGCTGATAAAATTCCAGGTAGAAAACTAAATATCGGATTTACACGATTAATTTAATTAATGCAATACTAATAAATTTTAGAATATAAACAAAATATCAGTAGTATGAGAGGTTAAAGAAAACGTATCTTTGCATGTTTCTGAAATGGAAAAACACAAGTATTGTTTGGTGATAAAATTATTTGTTATAGAAGGTTTATCGGCCACATAAATTCATACCAATCTGCTCGTTAATTTCTAGCTATCTACAGATGGATTTTAGAATTATCATCAGAAAACATTCAAAAAGTCCATGATATAGTATTAAATGATATATGAGTGAAAGTGCTCGAAATAGCTCATGCCATAAGCATTTCAACAGAATGGGGTTCCATATGTTGCATGTGAATTAAAGATGAAAAAGTTCTGTAGAAGGTAGGTGCCTCATTTGATAACAATTGATAATAAACTCATTCTCAAGCGTCTTTGGATCGTTTTAAAAAGAATAAAACCAATTTTGTTCATCGATTCATAACTATGGATGAAATTTGGATTCAACACTACACACCAGAGAAAACCTACACACAAGAAAAATTGAAACAATGGATCAAGTTTACCAAAGGAGGTAAAAATTGTGCAAAAGGAATTTTGTTAATAGATTATCTTGAAAGAAATAACTCAGAATATTGTATAGAAAAAAACAGTGAAAAAAGACCTTGTTTGCAGAAAAAAAGAAAATAATTAATCCACCATAGTCGCTAGATTTAGTTCCATCAGACTAGTGTGAATAGATACAAACCTGAAAAAAAAATCTTTATAGGAATCGTTTTTCGTTAATTTAAGAAGCAATTGACAGTTATTTTGTACAAGGAGATTATATAAAATAATTTATGAACCATAAAACTCGTTTCTTTCCTTTCATTTTCAAAAGTTTCGTATATTTGATATTTTCTTCTATCACACAATAATTTGCTAAATTTCTGAAATATCTTTTTATAATTTAACAATGTGCTTTATTGTCGTTTCAGGAATGTGTGGAGACGAGCAAAAGGTACACGTACGCTGATATCCATCGGATGGCGCACAACTTGGCCGGTTTTCTACAGAAGAACGGATTGGGAAAGGGCGATACTGCCGCCATTGTCCTTCCAAACGTGCCCGAATATTTCGTGGCTCTCCTCGGCATTATGCAAGCGGGCCTTACAATCACAACGATAAATCCCATTTACACCTCAGGTACTTGATTAACGACTCTCATCCTACAGCCATAACCATTTTCACCCATTAACATTGCACAACAAACGCAAGAGGATTAAACCCTCATCCGCCCTGAATACATCCCATCCCCAGAGTTGTTCATTTTTTTATTTTCTGATCGGCATGGAAACAATGCTGCTTCGGAGATCCCATCATCGTTTCACTCCATCGACCAGACACAAACATTTACAGAACATTAACATAATCCTTCGAACATTCTGATTTACATTAAAAAAATAATTTTCGGTAGTCACATAAGCTATGTGAATAGAACTAAACATTTCTCAGAGCAATTTAACAAAATTTTAAATTATCAGAGAGTCTAATATTTAATTTTTTACTTCAAACAATAATGAAAATATATTACATTTTCTAGTAAAAAAATATATATTTTCTAAATGTGTTTGTTTGCATTTAATGATCATAATTCTCATTGAATAGTTAAATATCAATTAATTGTACAATTATGTTATTTATGCAGATGAAATTAAGAAACAGCTGATGAGTGCAAATGCCAGGATGGTCTTCACCATGACCGATCTGTTTCCAACTGTGAATACTGCCGTAAATTGTATTCCTAACGTTAAAGTACCTATCGTTACCATCAACTACACGGTTCGTTCTATTTCTCTTATTTAATTGTTTCGAATCATCTAACGATTCCGATTTTCAGTAGCAGCAGCAGACGAATCCCGCTGGAACCATCAAATTCGAAGAGACCTGTTCCACTCGGTACGACATCAAGGATCCTCGTTGGGAACCAAACGATGTCGTCCTTCTTCCTTACTCGAGCGGCACTACGGGTCTTCCCAAAGGAGTCCAGCTCACGCACAAGAATCTTGTCGCTAATTACAAATTAACTTCAGTACCTGAATTCAAGCTCAACGTAGATACTCACGGTTTGTAACAAATATTGGTTTTGTTTATTTGGAACAAAAATCTAATTGTAATTTGTAGGTGATGTTCAAGATGTCGTTCCTATTATATTGCCGATGTTCCATATGTATGGGCTCGGCGTTGTCGGTTTGTCGATGTTTGCTCAAGGTGTAAAATTTACCACTCTAGCAAAATTCAATACACAACTCTTCTCCAAATTACTCCACCAATACGACCCAACACTTCTGTACATAGTTCCACCAATCAGTGAGTATATTATAATTATATTAATTTGTATACGTTAATGTACGGAAATAGTAATAGTTGATTTGGGAAATCATACAAATTAAACAAAATTTACGCCTTATCGTCTATGAAACGTACAATTTGAGGTAGGCTGAAATTGTATATTAGAAAAATAATTAGTTGACGATTTGTACGAAAAATTGTAGAAATCATCTGATGTGGAAAAATATAGTAGACCCAAATCGGATCCTTTCGAAACTTCAAATAATTTGTTAAATAATACTTGCAAGACCAAATAGAGTTGCCTATATAAATTGTGATTCATATAAATAATGCGTTTCTATCAATTGACGATTGTTTGTTTTTGCAGTTTTGATGATGCTGAATAATCCTGAATTCGAAATTGAGAAGAACAGATCTTTGAGATCTGTGGTGTCTGCTGCGGCGCCACTAGGTGCTGCGGACATCAACCGTTTTCAGGACAGGACAAGCGACAGGATTCACCTGTTGCAGATCTACGGGATGACGGAGTGCGCGCCGCTCAGCCACCACCAGTCATTCCTCCTAAAGGATGGCATCAAAATAGGTGGAAGCGGTATCGCTCTTCCAAACACTCACTGCAAAATTGTCAACGTCGACGACCCTGACTGCATCGGATTGGGTCCGAACACTAGCGGTGAGCTGCTCATTAAAGGACCCCAAGTGATGAAAGGTTACTATAACAACGATAAAGCCAACAAGGACATATTCGTTGGAGACGGATGGTTGCGGACGGGCGACATTGCACATTACGATGAAGACGGACACTTCTTCATCACCGATCGACTGAAGGAGCTGATCAAGGTGAAGGGATTCCAGGTGGCTCCAGCGGAACTCGAGGAGCTTCTTCGAGATCATCCGGACGTTAAAGATGCTGCTGTTATCGGTGTGCCGGACGAGAGGAGCGGCGAAGTTCCGAAAGCCTTTATCGTGTTTCGCGACACCTCAAAGTCTTCCATCGAAGATCTGCACAAGTACGTCGCAGAGAAAGTTGTCAAGTACAAGCAATTAACCGGTGGCATCGTTGTTCTGGATCAAATACCCAAAACCGCATCCGGAAAGATTCTCAGAAGGGAATTGAAAAAAATGTAAAAATTGTTTTCTCTAAAATTCTTTAATTATGTATGTTTAAATACAATTAGGCTTAATGTGCATACATTTTATAAATCACTTTTGTACAATAAACTATATCATATACTAAAAACTGATTTATTTTTCTTGAAATTGATTAAGCTACCTTATTTATTTCTTTTTTTACTGACGATAATACATCATAATTAGTTTATTTAAATCAATTACTATATTTAATTAATTTATTTAATATATCTGAAGTAAAAGCAACTGTAATTGTGATTAAATAATTTTTCTATTTTTTTTTCTTATAAATGCACGAAAACGAAAATTTTATTTCTGTTTTGTCTGATTTATAATCTAATTGAAATAATATGAAAAAAAATTGTTGATAACTATTTAAAAGAATTACAATATTTTAAGCTTTTTCATGTTGCTATAACTGTTTTCATACTTCTAATATAAAAAAATATCATATATATTAACTATTGTAAGTAAATCCAATATATTTTTTTTTGTGCAATTATTATTTCAGCCAAACTTATGATTTTTTCAAAATATATTATTGAAACTTTGCTGATAATTTCATTATAAAAATAAACTGAGATTAAAAGTGTATTGCACTTGATTTTCTTGAATCTCAGATTATTGTTGAATTATCTTTAATTATGCATTTAGCCTTAACGTGTGCACTTAAATAAATATTTATCACCTAATAAACTTCAAAACAATTCTTTTAATTTCATGCGAATTAATCTTCTTTCATATCTTTCTATTATTATTATTGCAAACATTTGAACGTAAATAATATTAGCGCAATATTTAGTTTGTTTTTATATAATCTAAATGAATCATGAATCTAAATCAATCAAACAAATTATACCGATGACTAATAAATTTAAAAAAAAATAACAATATTTTTATAGATCGTCAGTATTATTATATAGTATGTAAACAACATATGAATATACTTGATTTAAAATGATACTTTTATGTATTTGTTTTTGAAGCCAAATGATTTCTTTACAGTTATAATAAATTAAATGTGTAATACACAAATTATCCGTGAATTCTAATAATTTATTATTTAAATTATATGTTATATATTTTAAGAATACAAATATTTTTTCAAATTTAAAAGCGAACATTCTTTCCAATTTAATGCGTGTTTTACGATTTGTTTCATAGATAATTAAATTAATTACAAATTCAGTTTAAAACAATCGTAAAGTTTTACATCCCTATCAAAATAGATCTGAACCGGTTATTTCTATTAATTAAACTTTATCGTAAACAATAAACTCTTGTAAAATCGGTTTGATATTTGTATCTATTCGATAATTATTGCGATTTCTACAATTTTGTTGTTTACCAGTTAAAATAAAAATGATGAAAAACAATGTGTTGATAAAAACGTAATGTGTAAATGAAATGTATCTTTTAAATGTCAAGGTCATCAAAATTTCGAAACTAAACATCTTCAAATCAAATTTGTTCTGTTTGGTAAATAATTGAATTTGCGATGTGGAAATTTTCTAGTTTGAGTTGAACGGTTTTATACTATTTTGTTACTAAATTTCGAGTCCTATAAGTTATCTATTCAAGATAGAGTCAAGAAGAAAACAAACAGTGCTTTGATTACATACAAAATGACTTGCGCATTTTTAGTCGATACTAAATCAATGGAAACTTGAAGATCTTTTTATCACTTTCGAGCGTTGTTTGTGCGCCTGTCACGTCTAAATAGGACACAAACATGTATAAATACTGGAGACAAGTCGATCTCGAACTGAGGTATTAAAATGTCGTTCAGAAGTGCAGTTAGGAGCGTAATTAGAGGCAAGAAGAGTCAACTGGAGGCACGAAGACTGTATTCCATCAGTCACGAAGTTTCTTCACCAGTGGAGGATATCAAATTACCTAATCTTTTTCTGCATGAATACGTACTTAATGATATACACAAATGGCATGATAAGATCGCGGCTGTCGGTATCTTTAACACAATCGCTTCTTGATTTTACTAATTGCGAAATGGTTTGCAGGAATGCATCAACTCTAAACGGAAGTACACTTATGAAGAGATCAACAGGAAAAGCGATTCTTTGGCAGGATTCCTGCAGAAATGCGGAATACGAAAAGGTGATGTGGTCGCTGTCGTCCTGCCCAACGTACCCGAATACCTTATTTCTTTGCTAGGAATAAGCAAATCCGGATCAACCGTCACCACCATCAATCCCATCTATACTTCAGGTATTTCTAGTTAAAACGATTTAAGCGTACTCAACTAAACACGATTTGGTTTATTAGACGAAATCCAGCGACAGCTTGTCAATTCGGGAACTAAATTGGTCATTACCATGACGACCCTTCATCCAATCGTAAAGGACGCAACAGACAATGTTCCTAATAGCAACATTTCAATTGTTACAATAAATCACAATGTAAGTTCATATTTTTCAATATTACAAACCATATAGCATATTTATTGCTAAGAAAATACAAATATTTTAATTTCAACAACGATAAATTAGTCTTAAAGTTCATTTTTTAAGCTAAATTTTAATTATTAAAATAAAAATTACTATAAGTGCATAGTCTGTAAATCTAATTGATTTTTTTTTTCAAATTTTGTAACAAAATAAATATCTAGTATATTTATTTGAAAATGTATTATTATATTTACAAATATCTTTGTAATTCTATTTCTGTTATATATCTTTATATTAAACTTTCATTTCTATATTAGATATTCAAAATTAAATGGTTTCCGATTTATAAGTTTAAAATTATTATTTTCAAATAAAATATTTTTACTTATATTTTGAATAAATAATAAACACTATGTGGAATATAAACTATTTTTTAATAGATTGATTTGATTTTGACTTTGTTTCTATCCTTGTAAGTACTCATTGGATGAAGATTGAAATGTTCATATTTGATATAAATATAAAGAATAAGTATAAAGAACATATGAAATTTGAAAATATAGATATACTAAATTATACACTTTTCGTTTTGTGAAGGAATCTGATTCGACGCCAGAAGGATGTGTGAATTTCTTCGAAGTTTGCGAGTTAAATTTGGAAGTGAAAGATCCAAATTTGAGCTTGGACGATGTAGTTATTTTGCCATATTCCAGTGGGACTACAGGTTTACCGAAAGGTGTGAAAATCACACATAGAAATTTAGTATCAAATATTGCTCAATCTAACACACAAGGACTCAGATATAATACTGAAACGACAGGTGATTGAGAAGAATTATAATTCTATAAAAGTTTCTCACTAAAATTATTTCAGGTAACAACCAGGATATAATTCCGTTAGTTCTACCATTATTCCATATCTACGGTTTATCGAGTATTGGATTTACAAAATTGTCCAGAGGTTGCAAATTAGTAACAGTTCCAAAATTTAACACAGATAGTTTCTCCAAATTGCTACATCAATGTTCCCCAAACTTGCTCTTTGCTGTACCACCAATGGTCCTAATGCTTCTCAACAATCCGCAGTTGCAATTGGAAAAGGTTTCTTCGTTGAGGAGTATAATTTCGGGGGCGGCGCCTTTGGGTTCTGAAGATATTTGCAGGTTAAAGGAGAAAACTGGAGGAAAAGTGAACCTGATGCAGATGTATGGTTTAACTGAATGCTCACCAGTGACGCACAAACAGAGCACAGATCTGAAGAATGGGATAAAAGTAGGTGGAAGCGGCTTTCTGCTACCCAACACCAAAGCGAAGATAGTGAAGATTGATGACCGAGATTGCGTAGGGTTGGGTCCAAATGAGAGCGGAGAGCTACTCATCAAGGGTCCGCAAGTCATGGCAGGATACTTGAATAATCCGGAAGCTGATAAGGGGATCTTCGTGGAAGGTGGATGGATGAGGACAGGGGACATTGCTAATTACGACGAAGACAATCACTTCTTTATTACCGATCGTTTGAAGGAGTTGATCAAGGTGAAGGGATTTCAGGTAGCGCCGGCAGAGCTGGAGGAACTACTGAGAGGACATCCTACTGTGCAAGACGCTGCTGTCATCGGAATCCCCGACGAGAAGCACGGAGAATCCCCAAAAGCCTTCGTCGTCCTCAAAAAAGGTTCAAATACTTCAGCCGAAGACATTTCCAAGTACGTAGCTGAAAAGGTCGTCAACTACAAGCAGCTGACCGGTGGAGTGGTATTCCTCGAAAGCATCCCCAAAACCGCATCCGGAAAGATATTGCGCAAAGATCTAAGAAACTACTAGAAATAACTTACTTTTGTAACAAAGGATCGTCTGTCCGTATCGTTATTCAACATTAGTTCGATTTCTAAGCATAGATATCGCTTTCGCAAAACTGACAAACACAAACCATAGATAGTCACAGCACACTTTGTCCAACAAACTTGCTTTTTATTTGTACGTACAAAAATCGAACACTCAGTAATCTCGGATCGTTACAGAAGTCATTAAATTAAAGTCGCAGCCGCACGCAAACGACGCCTTCTGTATTATATTCTTATTTATATATACACGTGCACAGCAAGAAACAACGTCTCTCCACTTTAGTTAAGCATTAAATTTGGAAATTAGTTTTTCGTGAAAACAAGAACGGTAAAATTCAAGTGTTTTCAGGAGTTTTCGAGTTTTCGAACATCGTAAAACGGCGTTTTGCGGGGCAACGGAACGGGCGTCGCGGTTATTTTCTAACTCTTATGGACAAGTTCACTTAGTTTGATTAAAAATAGACCTTCGGGACTTCTCCATCGCCTGTTCGGGCATAGATTTCAGATGAAAGATTTATTCTTCAACTCTCTCTTTCTCCCCATAAATATTAAGTATAAGTGAACGAAACCTAATCTAAATATGGAAGTTTCAGAGTAAATATATTATTTTAAAACATGATTTACGAGAAATATCATATTTACTTTTTTTTTACCTTTTACAGCAAAGTCAATATATAATATGTATACATTTATTTCTTATACTAATTATTAATCACTTTTAGATCTATAATATAAAATTATGAACTAAGAAAATAATATTCGAATTTTTAGCCAAAAACGAAAACATTTGAAGTTTTAATTAATTTTACCATTTTATATTATAATTACATAATTTTTTTCTTTCATTTAAAAAAGAAAGTGAAAAATAATAATTAAGAAAACATTTTTCAAAACTACAAATTTTCACTAGAAAAATATATTTTCAAAGACAATTTTCATTTTTCAATAAATTTAATTTCTATAAAATTTATTTGGTACCCTTTTCATTCAATTAAACACTTATTGTACTAAAAAAACAAGTTTCAAAAGTACTATTAAAATTATGCATTTTCACTTTTCTTAACAATTTTTAATAATTCAATTTGTTTTTGCAAAATTAGGAAAAATAATCGAAAAACAATCATTGCATTCAATTTGCACTGGTTATTAGAATTTGCAAACCATTAAAATCGAAATTAACATTTGTCAAATCTATGGTCGCAGCTGGTAAAGTTATGCTACAATAGAAACAAATGCGGACAGCAAATAGATCAAACACATTGTATTTGTATTAATCAAAATTAATTGAATAGCGCTGCATTTTGGGTGGTTTTGGGGTGGTGAAATAGTAACAAACGCGAAAGCCAAACTTGGCAATGTGTAATGATTGAAACTAATTTTGCATATTTCATGAGTTGCATCCAATAGTTGTAACTAAATTAACGTTGGAATTGTTTCGTTTCATTTTCTATTGATTCTTACGTTAATTACGCTTCGAAAAGCTTTAAAAACAGTCAATGAAAAGAGATTAATTTCATTTGAGAGCGAAACAACGAACTTTCGTAAGATTTTAACTTCCGAACTTATGAAATATTCAAAGACGTCGTCGGTAATACTGGCTTCTGCAATATTTATCTGCAAATCTCGTTTCCTTACGTACATGCTCAATAATGAAATTCTGCTTCCAATAACGGCGGTTCTTTCAACCTTCTACACCGACTTTATTCAAAAGGATTCTGAATTAAATATGCCCATTAAATACTTGATTCGATAAAGAATCCGCACTTCACTAAATCATCGATCCCCTGGTTTTACAAGCAATTCACTTTGAATAACAGTGATTTCTTGACCAACAAACCAACACAAAGTGAAAAGATCTATAATTGATTATGAAAAATGTTCATGTAATCACCTGTAATTGATATAAATATTTAAAGTAAATATAATAAACTTTGTGATAGTATTAGATATGAAGTATAGTTGGTTGCCTATAATAAATCTGGAAATTGATTATCTTTTATCTGTTTAAGGGGACAGAAATTCTTAAATTTCTTTATATTACAAATTTTAAGACAACTGAATCAGACAACTTTGTCAACTGAATCAACATCGGAAGGTATCTCATAGCATACCAACTAAATTAAATGGTAATTCCTCTTTCCTGTACATTTCATAAAAAAATATAATAATGCCCTACTAAGTTTAAATCTTATCATTCATGAAAAACAACAATCATGACAAAATATTAGAAATATATAATAAAAAAAAATGTAAATATATAAAATAAATAATTTTAAACTTCTTTGAGATGTTGTAATTGAACATATTTTTTTTATGTTGTATAATTTTATTCACAATCACATTGATGATCATTGAGTAAATTTAAGATCGCGGTTGACATTAAATGGATAATCTTTCCCGGTGGATACTTACCATTATGATGATTTGTTTCCTTTTTTTTTAATTTGTTGGTTGGCTGTCGTCTTGTAGGCTTACTTCAGTAGTATATTGATGCTCTGCGATTTCACTATTTCCTTTGACCGTGAATCTGCTGTTATCCTTAACTCTGTCATTGGCTTCATCGACTTGGCTGAAGGTCCATATGCTGAACCTCATTCATTTGACTGTCCCTCTGTGACGAACGATGGCCCTACTGCTGCAAGCACCGAGAGAGCTCACAAGGGTTTGACCAGGATTCGAACTGGCTCACACGAAATCGTGGATAGGGCGACTTAACCATTTGGCTATTAATCTCCCTGTAATTGAATATAAATAAAAATTTGAATAACATATTTTCCTGCTGGTAAAGTATTAAATTTTAATAGGAAATGGAAGAAATGTTTAAAATAATAAAATTATACAAAACTTGAAATAATTATAATAAACTTTGAAAACTGACAACAGAAATTTTGTATTTTATCAATTATTATAAAAATCTGTAAAAAATTGTAGATAAATAAATAAAATCATTAAAAAGTCATAGATACTCTAAATAAACATCTTAACATTTTTTTTAAAATTTACTTTACATCTCAAAATCATTATAATAACTATCCACAGGGAAAGATTATCCATTTAATGTTAACCGCAATTTTAAATTAACTCAATGTTCATATTGATGAACAGGATGTGAATAAAGTTATTACGTAAATAAAAAAAAACTTTAAATTTTTTGTAACGTCACCTACTAAACAATACCGAACGTACATCACACGCTTTTGTCGAACGATCAGTAAGGAACTTGTTTCAAAACTGTCATACTTGTGTTCCAATGTTTTTTTTTTCCATAAAAGAAGTGATGAATCCTCGAATTTTTTTATGAACTACTTCTTTAATTCATTAAGTATTGTGAATATATCTGCCAAAATAATGCCTCAGAATAAATTTCACATCTTGATACCCAACGTACCTCCGTATCTAATAGAAATGATTTGATTTTTCCCATTTTTTATTAAGTTCATTTTAACGGAAATGTTCCATATATTTTCGTTAAAATCATTTGACATAGATGCTTTGATGATTGCTTTCTGCCCACTGGGACATTTAATCAATTCTGCGTGCATGCTATTTGAAAGTGGAATAGTTTCCATTTTTTAAGCTCTTTTCACCAAACAACTTTAACTGCATCCTTCATCCTTGAAAGCATTAAAGTTTCGTCGGTTTGTGCGTTTGTGCGTGTGTGCGTTTTACTGGTTTTCGCGATTCGATAACTAATCAGGTATATGGTAAAATGTAATTATTTTTATGATTGAAAAATGTTATTATTTTCAGGATTATTTTTCATTAAATTCAATATTGTGTAAAAATAGTTATATTGATATTGTGATAGAGATATTGCTGTATAATTTTTGTTCAAAAGAAAACCAACCAGTATTAATATTTTTTTTATTTTTCAAATTAAATTGCAAGTAAACTACAATTATATACATGTTTAATTATTGTAATTTTCTAGTAAATTATTTTTACAGCATTTATTTGAATTTAGAAGAAAAAAAAATATATATTTTTTTAAATGAAAAAAGTCTTCTACATTTGTGAATGCATGACGATGAATATTATCAAACTTTAAACAGCGTGTTTCCGATTGTCGTGATGCACCTATACAGTAATTAGTGTAGATGTGGCCGGACGTTAGATAATTGTATTCGATGAAATAAGGTGAAATTGAGTCGATATAGCGTTAGCGTAAGTCATCCATCTGGTAACATTGGTAAACGCTCAGGTGGAAAGGACGGGAATTGCGCAATCTGACATGCGGACGTCCGCTGTGCCATCGCACGGCCAATTAATTATACACACATGCAATGGTAGTTTGAGCTGCTAGTACACAGTGGATGGCAGATACTCACTCGCACAACGGTAATCCCATTACTATTACTAAATTCATGATTGATTATCTTTGTCCGACTACTACGGTTGTCCTCATGCGGCAAGGCACAAAAGTTGGCGAAACAGCACAATGCTGTAAGCTTAATGAACAAATACTCCTCTCTGTCTTTGCTGCTCAAACACAAATTCAATATTTATCTCACTCACTCAATTTACACACTGGTATTATTACATTATGTATATAATTCTCTAATTATTATTGTAGTTTCCATGCATCCGTAAACTCTAAGACCAATATTGTCGAGTTCCTAACGATTTAGACACAATCAAATTCATGAAGCTTTCGTCATCGACAACTTCCCCAAATTTTGATTATATCCTTACTTCCGACACGTGTCGCCATTTCTACTTCAATTGTTTCATTCAATTAATATATGTAGTTAAACCTCAAACGGACTAAATTAACGAGTTCCACGAGCAATTGCTTGTTTTTTTAGCAATAACAAAATATTTCGATATTTTTGTTGTTGTTGTTGTGCTTTATACGCAGAGCGCAAATGAGAAAGGGAGTTCCTTTGTGGGAGGCGGCGCTGTTTTAATTACGGAGCAAACTTTTTCCGCCTCGAATATAACAATCCTGGGGTTTCCCTCGGAGGCCTATCTAGAAGGAGGAATGGGGATGCAAACTGAATACAGAGGAGAGGGATCCACTCTATCTCATCTAATAATCAAAATTCTGGAGGCATAAACAAAATAACCGCCGCCCGCGCGGCAAAAACGAGCGTCGAACAATGCGCGCCATTCCTGTTTTCACCTTAATCTCGCCACCACTGCCGCCACCCCCCATCTAATAGCAACAAAGTTTAATCATAAATCGTCAACATATGGTCTACCTGCAATATTCTGTACGTGCGTTCCATGGGAATATGTGAAATTATAAAACTTGCACCAAACTATACAGCTCTAATACTATACACACATACACTACAAACATTTATTATTAAGAACACCACCCGACGTCTAATTAGGACCCGCACGCATTACTCAACCTTGCAGATACAAAACACCCACAGGAATGAGAAGAAAAAAAGGAACGAATCTAAATTGTCCTTAATGAGAAAGAGAATTAAAATACATTTACAAAAGCGAAAATTAATTTTGCTGATCTCTATCATCCCCTCCTCGTTCCAATTATTTTTGTATACTTTGTTCACTTCTTCGGCGTAAAATGGCTTCGCTTAATTTCGCCGCCTATCAGTTGGCCTTATCAATGTCAAACTTTCAGAAACAACTGAAATAAAGGAGCGTGAT